AATGAACGACATCAGTTTAGTCACAGAGTTTTTTGTAATATGAAAGTAGCGAAAAAATATAAAATTTGTACGATTCCACTGCAATAAACTATTTCATCGGCCGTTGATGAAATTTGCATTTTCGCTAATGTTAAAATAACAGGATGCTGCACTATCGTACCGGTTTTCAGTTTTAGTCTTATATAACAGACGGTGAAATAACACAATATTTTGTTTGTTATTTCTATGTTTTACAGAGCTTCACGCTGAATCTTTCAAAATATGTGTCATGATTAGGCGATTCATATGTGATGAACAGGGTTGTCAAACCTTCTAGTTTTCTTCTTACTCGGCGAATACCGACACCTTACATCAATGCAGCTTTCACAGAGAGAAGAAATTTCTATTGCATCATTTAATGGATATAATAATAATAACCAATAAGATAATGCATTTGGTTTTCGTGTTTTTCTCGTAAGCCTTGAAATATTTACGGAGCAATAGTCGGAATAGAATGAAACAGGATTTGGTTTGAGCAGAATTAAAGATTAAAATGAATGCTCATTATGCCTGTGCAGGATTTTATGACTATTTCTTAAAACAGATTCGATCATGAACTAAATACAGTCATATTGCAAAAGTAACACGAACCGTTTAGTAAATTTATCAATTGTATTTTACTTTATATTGTTAGTATTCTATTTCTTAATTTGGATTTGCTTTTCTATATTGTGTATCCCAGTCACTGCTGATGAAATAAATATTGAAATCAACTTTATGAAATGAATAATCTTTCTTTATTTAATTCATTTATAATAAATATATTTCCTTCAGCAACTCAATTCAGAAAGCAGAAGAGCATAGACTAGCAAAAACTTAGATTTTATCAAATAAAACCCAACGAACAACTCTTGACCTTCAAAGAAAAACATCCTAAGTTTACTCATGATTTTGAAAACAATCCTACTGAAGAACTACTGATATTTTTAAAATTTTGATTTCGTAACCCTGGTGATGAACTATTCGCAAAAAAAACTAGATGCTGCAGTCGTTATAACTCATCCGGTATTTACTATTGATGTGTCTGCTCGTTTCGTCAAAGAATCGCTACTCACTTTCGTTATTAAAATATGTAACGCGTGGTTTGAAATAATATGGTGGTGTGTGTGTACGGCCGCTTGTTCGTTTGCTTGAGAACGAATAAACTAGTCGCTTTTTTATCGGATGAGCGAATACTCGCACTGCGTCAATGACTATAATCGTGTTGTGGTTACCTTAATATTTTTTTACTATAAGTAGTATCAACAAAAATATAAGATATTAAGTAATGCATGCTAAAAAATGCTCAAAAATCAGATCAAATATGATTTTCAAAAGAATAATAACGTACATTGTTCAAATATACCACTTATAAACATTTAGAGAAATAATAAATTTGAACAGATGGTTGCAGACGATAGCCAGTTAAAAACAATTGTTCCTCAGAAGATCAATATCGTCGTTTGGGTGTGGGTGTGGGTGAGTGTGTCTTGTACTGCACTTAGTCATAGGCATATCCCACATCCCACACTCTAAAAAAAAGTTTTCTTTTAGCGAACCCTCGAAAAAGGTTCCGTAGATTTGAAAAAGCTTACGAATCAGAACATGAACCAGGCCGTGTTTTTGTAGGCCTGGCCTGTCCGTGGCAAGCCTTTGCATTCCAAGCCTGCCTGTGCTTATCAACTAATTTGCTTGGCTTGGCCTGCCTGGCAATTTTTTTTAATGCTAATACCATTACGAGGACAAAATAGAAAAACGAATTAATGTTGAGAATGTAAAAGACCAGTTTAATTAATTTAATATGACTAGATTAAGCATTTACTTAGCGAAGTTTTCATACAAAAAATGAGGAAACATCGGATTTGCATCCGGTTGTTATGTGTACTGCAAAAACTCAGTCGATTTATATATGTTTTGAATAATTCTGAAAAAAAAATTTTGTTTTTGAAAAAATCCCTGTACTCCCCCTCAAGGATGGTCTGGTCAATAATGACAACTTTTTCGATAACTCAGCCATTTTTTGACAGATTGCTCTCATCTTCGAACTCGACTGAGATATTCGATGAGATCATTCTGTGTACAAAATTTCATGATAATTAGATGAGGCTATCAAAAGTTATCGTGTTAACGACCGGACGCACTGACCGAATCTAGGGTGTACTCATTTTTTTTGAGTACACAAAAAGAATACATCAGAGACAGCATGGTATAACATTAAGAAAAAAAGTTTTGTTTTTGTTCAAGAATGTTTGGAATGGATCTCACAAAGAGAATATCATTTAAAAATTGACGATCCAAAGAAGAACGACGTTCTGTTACGGCTAGTCCAGCAGATAAATGAAAACACAACAAGCGAGTGGAGAAAGAAAATGAACTATGCAATTTGAACTGAACATTAGTCATCATTTGGATCAATTACAAATGAACACAGAACATTATTCTATGCTTCATCTGATTATTAACGCCACATTCAATTTAAAAAGTTTATATCAAAAATAAAATTATAAATATAAAGAATAGAGACAGGTCAGGCCTCAAGATTATGACCTGTGCCTGTCACAGGCAGGTAGGCAGGCCTAGTGGCCTGTTTGATGCTCTGTTACCAATACATTAAAATCTTCACAAAACGGTTTTAATGCATTGGGAAGCTTTTTCAAATATACGGAAGCTTTTACAAATATACGGAACCTTTTTCAGGGGTTTGGTAAAAAATCTTTTTTAGAGTGCACATCCCGCCACCATCCACACCCAACGCCACATTCCCTGCAGCTATTATTTATCATATCAATTTTAATAGTGTCATCAATGAACGTTTCTCGTAATAGATCATCAATATTCGGAAATAAAATCGAAGTACGTATAAAAAAGTGACCGATCGTATGTCTAAGTTATTGGTTAATTTTGATTGGTACAAGCCAACTACGGTGTAAGTATTAACACAGCAGTGCGAGTCCCTTTATAGAAGATTTGATAGAACGAAGCCATTGAGAGCAACTCAGTCAGTGACTCCTCGTGGACTTTCTCAGGTAAAGGTATCACAAATACGATAGGTAAATCGGCGAATTGTTTCGTGTAGGTTTCTATTAGATGTTTACAGGGCGGCGTGGTTTTATTCAAATTTAAGCCAGTCTTGAAGTCGAAACCATTCCCCCAAGGCGGAGCAATGCCAATAACGAACATTTCGTTCTTTAAGTTTGTACGGTCGAACGGTCGAACTCGCTCGCTGACATTAGCATAATCGTCGAAAAATACGTGAGCGTTAAAATTAAGTTTTGCATAGTTTGCCACAACTAGTTCGTACACTGGATGGCTGTTGTCAAATCCAAATGCAGCATATCCTTTCGTGTATTTTGCCATGCTATACAAGAAATTACCCGAACCAAGAAAAGGGTCAATGACAACAACTTGCTTGTCGGGAACATGTTTAATGATAAAATCAGAGAGAAGTAGGCCATACGTCACAGCTTTGGCATCGTATACAGCTTCGATGCCAGTACGTGCACAAATCCTTATATTACGTTCGAAAAGTTCATTAGGTTTTAGGCCAAACAAGCTAGCTGCTTCAATGGTTCCAAATAAAGTGATGCCAATAGCTGCAAGTTCATCATATTCGAGAAGAGAGGTGTAGCCTCGTGAAATCAAATTTTGACGAAGCTCATCTTTTTCTTCGTCACTCATGCTAACAATTGGCTCTCCAATGACGATTGTCTTTATTAAAACGTTATGCTGATCTTTAATGCGTTAACTGAAATGAAAACAATTAAGCTTGTTAGTACTATCTACTGCAAAGGTATTTTTACATACGGCACGATCAATATAAGATGTTAGATCGAAATTCTTTAAATTGCTCTTTTAGAATTTTAATCATGTTTTAAAAACTCATTAAAATAAAAGAATAGGTATTTTGATCAGGAGAATGTAAACAATAACCTTTACTGCATATCTAAATATGGTCAAAATCTAATTCTAGTGATGATACAATTCATAGCTTTCGTCAAGCAATTTAAAAGACACATTGATGGAATCAAATTTTTGATTTTATGACCATGCTTTCATAGAAGCATAACAGAATAACGTTTGCTTCGATACTTATCAAATGACAATCGGCTGATCCATAATGATTGCGACATCTATTATTTCGCAAATCGTTCATCACAGACGAATCGCATAATCTTTACACAATTTCAAACTAGGAGTGATACTTTAGTATAACGTTATAATGGAATAATGGTAGATGAATTATATGATCTTTAAAAAAATGATGTTAAATTAAAGACAAATGATTATTTTTTAAGCAATGATTTGTTAATAAGTGCCTAGGATCATAGAACTGATATCCAGAAAGATTTTATAACTGAAAAGGTTTATTTGGAACAAAAATATCCTACTATGAAACGAAATGAGTTTGTATTTTGTTTCCAGATATTTAGTAGATATCGACTACAAACATGATAAAAAGAAAAATGCTTCTAAAATATTCGAAACATCTATAATTCAATTCTATTGTCGATGCTGATTCACCCATGGCGTAATTTTCTGCGAAAAAAACGCGTTTTCCCATCAATGCGAAACGCGTTAATGCTGGCCGGGTCAACGCGTTTCACATGTGTTTTAGAAAACGAACGGAAATGCTGAGTACCTATCAGCGTTTCGCATCATTAATTTTACAAGGTGTGAAACGCGTTAAACCGGCCAGCATTAACGCATTTCGCACCTTCATAAATAAACGTTGCGAAATACTGTGAAATACACATCATCTAGCAAATATTGATTTAGCAGCTACACAAAGCATTTTTCTCAAGAACGTTTCATAACGTTCCCCTAACGAGCTGTGAAATGCGTTTTTTCAAACAAAAATTTTGAAAAATCAAGTCATTGATGATATTAGATTTAGTGATCTTATCTCTCTATCAAGTTATTACCGAATCATATCGATATCATATAACAACAGTTCTACTTAGAAGAAGATTTACAATGTACGATAGAGAAGATTCGAACAAATACAGAAAGAATACAAGACAGAAAAGAACAAGTGAACAAGCGATTGAACTAAACACAACTTGATATATAGGAGTGTTTATGTCGAACTGATTCAGTATATAATATAGATACGGTAATGGTCTATTATCGATTGTATATAGATACTATAATTAATCAGAAATAAAATTTATTTTAATTAATTGTTTGCAATCTACTCGTACTAAAAAAATATAATAGAAATTATTAAGATCAACATTGAATTTGATATATATCGACATAGTTAAATAATTATTGAAAGAATATTTTTAACGTTATCAAAAGAGAATTTTCTTTTATATTTCAAAACAAAAAAGTCTTACAAGTATTTTTTCAACTGAACCATTTTTTAAATGATAAAGAAGTAAATCGTTGTTTATTGCAAGTAATGTCTCGAAAAAAATTGTTTATGTAACTAATATTTACAAAAGTAAATTGTCTTACAATACTTCGATCAATATTTTGGATACTTTCATTTAACAAAATTTTATGAATTCAATCATGTTATGATTGATATTTCATTGCTAAATACTTTTTCAGAACAAAATCATAAATAAAAGAATCACTATGCAACCTGTCAGAAAATGTCATGGCACGATTGAAATGAGAATTTCAATTGGAATTAGTATTCTAAATAATTAGAAAATGAAAGAAAAATAAATAATCAAAAGTAGTTTAGTTTAGTCTTGAAAGATGTAATGAAAGGTACAAAATATCGTAGAAAAATAGTGATTTGTGAATAATATTATTTTAAGTATATTTAACATTAGATTCATCGATATCTAATTAATTTTGTTTCCATTAAACGAAAATAAAGTGATGAATTTTCTATATTCTTGTCGATTATGATATTTATTCATATGAATCTCTTATGACTATAATGAATATCTTTGAGGAATTAGAATTTAAAAAAATTTGATAAATAGCTAACAGAATATTTGGTACCACCATAATTTCATTATAAGAAAAATGATCAGATAAATTTGATATCAATATGAGATTACAAAGTTCAACATAAAAAAAATATTTATTGGTTCACTTAAATTGAGCCAATCAAATTCAACGTGCCATGCTTCCAAGAATATTTAACTCATAAAATAATTTTTAATTGCAGAAACAGATTCAAGATCATTACGAAAAAGAAAAACTTATTTATGATAAAATGTAACGAATTATTATATGTTTCTATGCTTTTATTTTATGGTTCAAGAAAATAAAAGAAAATATATTCAGTGTAAAAATAAACGATAGTAATTATTATAGAATACGATATGAATTTATGTATCAATTGTTTTCTTCTGTTTACATATGATAGAGTACTAATCAAATTTCATCTAAATTCAAAACTGACATTTGCATACCAAATACCATCTATATCTAATTGATTAAATTAAGTCAAACAATCAAAACAAAGAGTTAAGAACGAAAAAAAAATATGCATTACTTTTTAATAGTAAATTTACATGATTTCATCCAATAAGATTTCGTTCCAATATAATTTATTTTTTTTATTTCAAGTGAAAGAAATAGGCATTGGTTTGTGATGTGATTATCGAATCAACATTTAAAAAATTACTTAATCATATTTTACTGATAGCTAGCTGATTTTTATATGGCAGGATTCAGCTGATATGATAAATTAAATTCATAAAACAAAAGAAAACTACTATCATTTATTTTTATTTTCAAGTATTTTTTAGAAAAGCTTAATATTCGGATAGTATATTAGAAGGAAACATTATATATAAAATTAATTGATAACCCATCTTCCGATCGATCGTCAGTCTTTCTCTTCAAACTGTTTATTTTTAAATTGTGCACGTGTTGTTTTTCGTTGATTTAGCGGCTATTCAATTAATTCAATGGTTCGTTATGTCTGACTACATATAAATAGTCTTTTTTTTCCGTTGCTTAATGAATTTGTATTTCTTCTGACGATGATTTTCTGTCTTATTCGTATCATAAGTTCTTTGTTCATATTAATGAAATCATCGAACTGTACTTATGAAGACAGAGCAGAAATTTAGGAATGAATTTTCCAAGAATTCTCATAAACTCAAATAACTTATACTACCATCATCTATTATCATAATATTTCATTGAAAAATAATATTCATTTCGACAAAAGTCTTTGCTATTATTTGTTTGATTTTAGAATGCCTTCAATCGAACGAATTGATTCTACAGCATCATCTATTTCTACCTTATCGAAGCATGCTAAAGCTTCACATTGTATTGTACAATATCGAGATTTCGATAAAACTCGAAAAATCATCAATATCGATAAAATTTTAAATCCATCAAATCGTCGATTTAACGCAGGCGATGATTGCACACTAAAGAGTGAAGGTCGTCATCATACACGTGTGAAGATCTTATTCATGAGTAAGTTGTTTGATCTCATTTTTGGTGTTAATTAAAATTTTTATTTTACGTTATTTTGAAGGTGATTTAGAATCTTGTCAACATCAAATGTGCATCATTGGAGATACAGAAGTCGAGAATGGTGCCGATCAATATTCATCTTTTTTTTTAATAATTTTATATCTCGAATTTAGGTATGGGATTGACCGAAAATTCTTCGAAAAATGATTTGGTTGATGAAAATCGTCGAAATCTTTCTGAAGAATTAAAGAAGAAAAAGGTTAATAGCGGAGGTAAATCATCATTCTTCGAAATATTTTCATTGTATTATTGCTCGTTATTTTCTTTTTTTTCTCATTATAGCGACAAAGTTAACTACCAATAAGTTATCAATGTCTCAAAACAAAAATGATAAAACGTTACATGTTTCCAAAAGTTCAGAAAAATCTACAGGTATTACTCAACAAAACAACAACAAAGAAAATCTTAAATCGAAAGAAAAGGATACTGGTAAATATACCTAAATACATTGATACTTATATGACATTTTTTATTTTGAAAAAAGGTAAAATGACAACTGATAATGATCTCCATTATCCGAAGAAACAAGCACGTATTGTATCGTCACAATATCGAAATGATCGACCGATTTCTGCACAAAAACCTTTTTCTACACAAAATAAACCGAATCGAGAATTGACACCATTGTCATCAAATCGTAAGATTTTTTTCTTTGCAATATCTCAATATTTACTTAGTGTCTCGTCATATTTCTCAGAAAGCTGCAACGAACTTTCCTCTACCAGAAATTCAGAAGATCATTCAAAGAATATTGAAGCATCGAATCGTAGTCCAACACAACTTACAAGACAGCACGACAAAGGTATGTTTGAAATAAATATTCTTCTCATCCACATTTCTCATAAATTGTTTCTAAATAAGTTACAATGCAACTATTGTTTAATTCTCTTGATAATAGCCAACAAAAACGAAAACCTAATTATAATACTTTCGAAATATTCATTGATGTAAGGGATACCTTAGATTAAAAAAAGATCTGCTTTTCAGTACCAAAAGACTTAACAGTAGTTTTCCAAAATGACAAACACGTCATTTTTGATTTTCAAAATAAATATTAAATTATTCATGAAGATTAAATAACTCCGAGGAAAATCTGAAAAGAAATTATCGAGAAATATGGTTCTATATTTTTCATCCAGATAATGAAGAATCGTTAAATTCATCAAGTAGTCGATTTAATGATGATGTTTTGGTTGACGACGAAATAGATCAGAGCACAACAGCTACTACCGATGCCGATTCCGATGCCGATGCCAAACAGATCGATGATAAACAAAACAATGATCCTTTAGTCATCAAATACAATCGTTTAGTTGAAAAATGTAATCGATTGAAAAAGAAAATAAATAAACTAGAAAATGAAAATGAAATTTTAAAAAAGAAAACAATGCGTAAGTGATTGATTTTCTTCTCTTTCTATAAAAAAAATATGTCGCTCATCGTTATAGCATTACCTCCACCTGAAGTTCAACAGTGGATCAAATACACCGCACAACGATTTGAGAACAAACTATTATCAGGAAGCGTTCTCAAAGATTTCAGTGTTGCCTTAGGCATGCCTTCCAACGTAGTGATATCATTAACACAAGATACTGGGTCACTTACAGCAAGAGCGATCGTACGTTATCTATATCCTTCAAAAACCCGTGTACTAAGCGATATAGAAAGCAGGACACGTGAAGCAATTCTTAGTAAATTTCATTTTTATTATTATTATGTTATAGAATGAATTATTCTATATTTTCATTATAGATTATGTGAAATTCTGTCATCCGAACGAAGTATTTGTTCGAGGAAAAATTAATGAAGCTATTAGTGGTCCATTTAGAACAGCACAATTTAAGACACTACATTCAAAAGATGTTTAGTCTTCTTAATGAAACAACGATTCTTGCTTCAGATATTATAACAATCTTGGCTCCAACTCAAGAAGTGATGTTTTTAAAGCTGACGTAATTCTATCGTCTATAAATCCTTTTACTTTGTTGTGATAATGCCATAGTTGTTCATTTTTTTAAATGATAAGAAAAGAAAAGAATAAATAATAAAATAGCTACATTTGAAGTATTCATGCTATGAAAGATATTGCAGATGGAACTGAATATGTGAGAGATGCTGAATTGAAATACTTAACGAATTTAGAATCTGCTCAAAGTTCTAGATATAAATAGGAAGATGTGGTCCACTCGTACTAATTATAGAAGAAAAAAACAATTAAATAGAAATTTGTATTCATTTGACAACACATTCCAATGTCAAGCTACACAAGAGATAAGGTCAAGTTGTATAGCATTATCTCAAAGTAATTTCAGAATTAATTTATTCAGAATATTTTCTTTTAGCTGAAGATGAAAACATATCAGTCACAAATATATATGATGACGTGAAAACAAGTAGTGATCTTGAAATTAAGTATAGGATTGTAATTCTTTCTTCAACTAATATCAAGAGTATTTATTTTTTTATTTAGTATAGTCAGGAAGATACGGAAGATGATTCTGAATGGATCGATGAGAAAAAATCAGAAGCTGAATATGACGAACGGTAATTTAAAAGATTTATTACAATTCCTGTGAATTATTATTTGATGCATATGCTGCTATTGAACTTTACTAGAATTCGATTGAACACTAGACCCTTTGATTAACAGTTTAAATGAAATTTTATAACTCTTCTGCAATATATTATCCTTTTAGTCTTAATTTCTTTGTCTGTTACAAGTGTTACTTATTTTTCTTTAGAATAGTATATGAACAAATGTCGTCACTGAAGAGAAATCTAACAAAAAAAGAAATAGCAACGGCTTTAATCATTCTCAAAGTACGACACAGGCTAACAACTGTGGCAATTTCCAATATTTGTCGATTATTACGTTTACTTGATGTGCCAAATGCTCCTAAGAGCTTTTCAGCAGTCAAACGATTAATAGAACAAGAAGCAACAGATAAAATAAAACCAGATGTTTTAAATATTTGTCATAGTTGCAATAGTGTCTTTAAAACAACATGTGATAATCAAAAGTGTCAGTCAAATAATCAACAAATACGTTCTCCTAATTTTTTGAAATTTCTGCTCAAAGATCAAATTCAATTAATTCTAGAATCGGAAAATAATTTTACTTTATATTCTCAATTACCTTCATTATCTAATGATCATATTGGTGAAATCCAACACGCCGATTGGTATCGGTCAGTTGCTGAAAATGAAAATGGATCAAACTTTATAACTCTTCTATTGAACGTCGACGGAATAGCCATATCTGGAAGTTCTGATATTAGTCTTTGGATATTTACTGTAAGTTGTCCGTAAATCTCAATTTTTACGATTCCTATATGATTAATCTTTTTCATTTCCTAGTTCATCATAAATGAAATCAAGCGATCTGATCGCTATAAGTTACAAAACTGTATACTTGGTGGTGTATGGCCAGGGCCAAAAAAGCCCTCAAGAGAGCAGATCTATGCTATGCTCAAATCAATGACAGATGAATTACAGCTATTAGAAAATGAAAACGTCTATATCGTTAGGGTTTTAGGAAATCAAATGATAAAGTTAAAGGTATTTTTGATTGGATCAACATGTGATAAGCCTGCACAAGCAATTGTGCAGAACATAGCTGAGCCTATCGGAAAATATGGCTGTGGTCGTTGCGAGATTCCAGGTAGAAATATTTTCTTATAAGAAAACAATATGCAATTTTTACTCATGCTTTGGTAAAATCTGAATCCTTTGACATTTTCTTTCTGATGATCATACATTTCTACAATAGTTTTATTTATAAAAAATAAAACAAATGAAAACATTTCATTTCAATCTAAATTTTTATGTTTTAATTATCATAAGCTAATACAACTTAAGTAAAAGGATTTCTTTTTGCTTTCTTTTAAATTTTTTTCCGATTATGATCGTTTCTATAGCTTTCATTTATTGTATTTGAATACTGTCTTATATGACATTACTATTTCTTTTTTAGGGATTACAGTTCCTAGTCGTAAAGGAGCCAATCACCATATACGGGTTTTTCCTTTATCGTCAGAATCTAATGATAAACCACAATGCCGATCAAATAAAAACTATGATACAATAATGGCATTGAAAAATCCAACAGAAGACGAAAGAAAAGGATATTTAGGACAATGTGCATTGAGATTTCTAAAGCATTTTGATGTAGGTCAATCATTTCTTTCAGACTCACTTCACAACCTATATGGTGGTGCAATGGTTAGTATAATTTTATTTGCATCGAGTGACATTGATATAATACTAGTCATTATTTATATTATGGGGAATTTTCGTTTATTTTAAAAAGTAATCTAATGGATGATAGTTGATTTATAGATGTTTAAAGAAAATAAATACAGTGCGTGTTTCTTGATTATCTAAAACTTTGATGAAAGTAGTTCAATTAAAATAGATAGCGATCTAATGTTTTTATTTAAAGAATATACCTTGTTTTCTTCCTATTAAGAAAAAATTGCTCAAGTTGTGGTTTTCGGATGAATATAAAAAGTCGGAATGGTCCAGTTTCACCCAGTTTGGCACTATTAGCAAACAATTGTATCAATATCGATATCCATCAACAACAAGCAGAACACCAAGACCACTTATCCAATTTCATAGATTTAAAGCTAATGAATTTCGATTAATTTTACTGTTTGGGGCTCCTGTATTCAAACGTTATTTGAAACCAAAAATTTATAAAAATTATCTTCTACTTGTATTTGCACTTCATCTTGCCGAATTTCGTTCGCTAAGATCGACAGATATTGACGATATTCGATTCTTATTGGGTTCGATATTTTTATTTCTACTTTATCAAAAAACTTATTTGAACATAAATATATTTAGATAGTTTTTTATACGAATATCCATCGTTGTACACAAATCGACACAATCAACAGGTGATTCATAGTATTGATCACGTAGCGCAAAGTGTTCAGGACTATGGACAACTATCAAACTATTCAACTTTCAACTTCGAGTCTCTTCTTGGTGATAAATATTTCGAATGATATAAAGTATTTTTTAAGTTACTTATGCTTAACTTTAGGTATGGTAAGAGCAACTGTTCATAGTACGAAATGTCATGCCCAAGAAATAGCAAATACAATGAATTTACTTCGCTTAGCTGTTCGCAATACTCTTTTGGAAGATTTTAGTAATGAACTAAAAACCATGTTGGAACAGATTCAGAGGAAAAAACGAGTTACAGCAACAGAAAAACCTACAATTCAAACCCAACATCATTCTATCAAATTACGAATAAAGCAAACAGTCGACGAGACCCTATACAAGGATATACAAGAAATATTCCGATATGACGACATCCAACTTTATCAAATAGTTAGTATTGGTACAACGCGATTCACAACAAGGGATTTTGCTAAGGCAAAAAAGAATGATGACTCTTGCGTTCTTTATCGTTTCAACAAATCATCTCACATAGGATTTATTGAACACATTGTGCGTGCCAACCAGAAAATATTCTTCAAAATAAAAAAAGTTACAATTAAAGAAAATTTAACCTGTACGTATGGAAATCGAAAATTTCAATGTCGAAACATTAGTATGGGTAGCTATAACAATGATGAAAATGTTTTTTTCATTAAGCCCGAAGATATAATTGAAAAATTGGTTCATTATCAAGAAGCAGCTAATTCTTTTTACTTTTTTCGTTTTCCAACTTTATGTGAAAGTTCATAAATACAACTATTGTTTGTCATCATTTTTGTATTTTCGACTCGAATAATTAAATATATTTAGCTAAAAATTTACGAAAAATGAAAAATGAAAGTTGAGTATGAAATTATTCGATACAATCTTGAAAATTGATTTGATGATTGTGATGCCCAATAAATATATTGTTTACTGTGATCTTCTATGATGTATATATACGTATATGAATTCTTTAAGTTTTATGATAAGTTTGACTCTTTGATATCAGCGTTGTAGAAATTACGAATTTAGAAAAAAGGTTTCGCCCAATTGAGATACTCTTCTTTAATTTTCTAGGCTCATTATAAATGAACAGTTGAAAACGCGTTTTTTTAAGGTAAACGCTATTATAAGTCAGAAAAACGTCACAAAACGCTCTTACAGTTTTTGTTGTGCATATCATTTCGAAAAACGCTAGAATCAGTTACGTTTCGCAACGTTTTTTTTGTGAATGCTGGAGAACGCGTTCAGAAAATTAATGCGTTTTGCATCGTTTCAAAAATGTAACGCTCGCAAATGCGTTACTTTGAAAGAAAAACGACGTGAAATGCATTACATCTTACAAGAAACGCTCTGAAACGTTCCTGAGCATAGAAGGAATGCGTTTCTAGGGTCGTTTCCTTGAATTATTTATGCCATGGGCAGAATATGATATTAGTTTTGATCTATTTATCATTTTTGTAGTCGATATCTACTAAATATCTGGAAAAAAGTGCAAACTGATTTCGTTTCATACTAAGGCGTTTTTGTACCAAATAAACCTTTTCATTTATGAAAACCTTTCTGGATATCAGTTCTATGATCCTAGGCACTTATTAACAAATCATTGCTTCAAAAAATAATCATTTATGTCTTTAATTTAATTTAATTTTTCAAAGAAAAAGGATTCACTTATCTTTATCCTATAGTGCGCATAAAGGAAACTGAAGATAAAGGTTTAACCCTATTTCAAACAGATATAGCGTTGAATTCTCTAGACATGACGGAAATAGCAAATCATATTCATATGTTTCGCTGTGTTTTGTAGAAGGTAAAAAGTGGAGAGTAATGCGACACTGCAGTATCACGTTATACTGAGAAAAACCTAAAATCAAAATCACATAGACTGTTTTTCATATGGCTTGTTAAAAATAAATCTTAAGGCGTTCGTACATCGAGAAGTACGCTCCGGTTCTCGTATGAAAACACTGGAAATCGAAGGAACATCAAAACAGTGTTCCAGTTAGACAATTTTCGAACTGTTTTCTTGTTCCAACGATTTTCGGTATTTTTTTGCGGAGTACGGCGATAGTTCTGGTTAATTTGGGTTTTTCTATGGGCGATCAAATTTCTATTACTTGCATATCATAAAAAGCTCCGCGATGAAAATGACACTTGATAATGACGACATTGTCCATTATAGTAATGAGAGGAACACTTCGGAAATGCCAAGTATACTAGTAAATAAGTTGCATCTTGCTACGTTTCGTCGTTAAACACGTAAGCTTCGTATGTGAGTCGTAGGGTGGGCATCCAGTGGAAGAAAGAAAAATATAGAAAATATGAGATTCGTTGAAGTCGAATACACATCATGCTATCAGAGAAGCTGTCCTAAACCAATTAGACTAGAAGGCGCATTTTCATTTTAGCGTAGTGCCACGGCGTATAATCATTGACGCTAACAAAACAAAGATTTAATAGGTGATTTCTACTTTTATCAAGAGATGAAAACGTCGAAAACTAAAACGAATAACTACCAGTTGGAGCGAAAAATATGTCTGACGGGAAAATAATATCGATTCGCATACTCTATCATTTTTAAACGTTAGATCGTTCAATATTTTCTATCCTTTCAATTGCTATATTTTTATATTTCTACATTTATATTTTCCACAAAAGTAACATGAATTATTTAAGAAAAAATTGTCAGGCTCAGACATGCAAATCATCCGAAAGAAAGAATTATGGGCAATAGTGTGTGAACAATAGAGGTTCAATGAACGACATCAGTTTAGTCACAGAGTTTTTTGTAATATGAAAGTAGCGAAAAAATATAAAATTTGTACGATTCCACTGCAATAAACTATTTCATCGGCCGTTGATGAAATTTGCATTTTCGCTAATGTTAAAATAACAGGATGCTGCACTATCGTACCGGTTTTCAGTTTTAGTCTTATATAACAGACGGTGAAATAACACAATATTTTGTTTGTTATTTCTATGTTTTACAGAGCTTCACGCTGAATCTTTCAAAATATGTGTCATGATTAGGCGATTCATATGTGATGAACAGGGTTGTCAAACCTTCTAGTTTTCTTCTTACTCGGCGAATACCGACACCTTACATCAATGCAGCTTTCACAGAGAGAAGAAATTTCTATTGCATCATTTAATGGATATAATAATAATAACCAATAAGATAATGCATTTGGTTTTCGTGTTTTTCTCGTAAGCCTTGAAATATTTACGGAGCAATAGTCGGAATAGAATGAAACAGGATTTGGTTTGAGCAGAATTAAAGATTAAAATGAATGCTCATTATGCCTGTGCAGGATTTTATGACTATTTCTTAAAACAGATTCGATCATGAACTAAATACAGTCATATTGCAAAAGTAACACGAACCGTTTAGTAAATTTATCAATTGTATTTTACTTTATATTGTTAGTATTCTATTTCTTAATTTGGATTTGCTTTTCTATATTGTGTATCCCAGTCACTGCTGATGAAATAAATATTGAAATCAACTTTATGAAATGAATAATCTTTCTTTATTTAATTCATTTATAATAAATATATTTCCTTCAGCAACTCAATTCAGAAAGCAGAAGAGCATAGACTAGCAAAAACTTAGATTTTATCAAATAAAACCCAACGAACAACTCTTGACCTTCAAAGAAAAACATCCTAAGTTTACTCATGATTTTGAAAACAATCCTACTGAAGAACTACTGATATTTTTAAAATTTTGATTTCGTAACCCTGGTGATGAACTATTCGCAAAAAAAACTAGATGCTGCAGTCGTTATAACTCATCCGGTATTTACTATTGATGTGTCTGCTCGTTTCGTCAAAGAATCGCTACTCACTTTCGTTATTAAAATATGTAACGCGTGGTTTGAAATAATATGGTGGTGTGTGTGTACGGCCGCTTGTTCGTTTGCTTGAGAACGAATAAACTAGTCGCTTTTTTATCGGATGAGCGAATACTCGCACTGCGTCAATGACTATAATCGTGTTGTGGTTACCTTAATATTTTTTTACTATAAGTAGTATCAACAAAAATATAAGATATTAAGTAATGCATGCTAAAAAATGCTCAAAAATCAGATCAAATATGATTTTCAAAAGAATAATAACGTACATTGTTCAAATAAACCACTTATAAACATTTAGAGAAATAATAAATTTGAACAGATGGTTGCAGACGATAGCCAGTTAAAAACAATTGTTCCTCAGAAGATCAATATCGTCGGTTAACATTCTAGTTAATTATAACTAGTTTTACAAATAATTTGTTAAAAAGATTTGGATGTGGATGTGACCAGGGCTGCCAACTGTACACCATTTAGACTTTTCAGTCTTTGGTACGATTAGCTGAATTTCTGATGAAAATAACCTGTTCTCTTATTGACTCTTCTCATCTTCATAAAGAAGTCTATAATAAAATGTATTGGTAAAAAACTGACCGATAGATATTAGTATCCATTTTGTTTTATTTCGTCTTGATTTATTCGGTTTCACAAACTATTTTTACTATGAATAATGATATAAAATTCATTGAATTTTTCTCATTCCCCACGATTTCATTACTTTTTCCTATTAAATTTGACAAATACATATTATTTAAAAACTGAATGTAGTTTTAGATTTTTCTCTTCATTGTATTTGCTCTTAGTGATAATTTTCGCATAACATTGATCAATAGTTATGAAATTGAAATTTCTGCTAATTCAGAGGCAACAATTAGCAAAGAATTTCCTACTTTCCGAGAAAACCCAACTAGCAATATCGAAGAAAAAAAGTTCATCAAAGTCAAAAAGACGTTTTATCTTTAACCAAAAATGGTTGAAAGCTCCTAAATATGCAGCATTTCTCAGAAAATGTCGAGTTAATACATATTTTGATCATTCTTCTAAATGTAACTAAGATGTTTCTATTTCTAATGGTAGTGTTTATCTGATCGGTTTTCTCAATTAAATCTTCTTTTTTTGAAGGCAGATAATGTACATCCAGTTACGTACCCCATCCTGAAAACGAATGTACCCCATTTGAAAAATAAAACATGGTAGCCCTGGATGTGGCTTGCCTTTATTCATTGACACCCACACTCATACCTCCAGAGGAATATCAGCATAAGGTTAACTCCTAAAAGTTCCATTAAAACTTAAACTTTCTAATTTTGTGGAACTCACATATATTTTCGAAGAAAATGGTGAGTGTAAGTTTAAAGGCGAGATTTTTGCGGCTTCCCACCCCCACCCCCTCCCCAATACAGTCATATTGCAAAAGTAACACGAACCGTTTAGTACATTAATGAGTTCAAAATTGTGCTAATTTGGAGCTTGACTAATTAGGCTGCTATTTCTTCCTTTTTCAATTACAGACTACACGAAAAAAGCAATGTTTGCCCATTACAGACCATAGCAACTAGCTTAGGGTACCATTACAGACCATAGTAACTAGCTTAGGGTACCATTACAGACCATAGTAACTAGCTTACAGTACCATTGCAGACCATAGAAACTAGTCTCTGCCCTTGTTAAATATACGAGCTGATAGTTAATGCTCAATTACAGACATAAGTGCTAATAGCCAATGGTCTAATTATAGGTTTTGGAAATCAGGGTAGATTTTTTAGATGAATTATTTTGAATTATTTTTGTAAGCCGAAGGGATATACGTGAGTTCCAAATTTTAGCCCAAAGGGGCTGCGCTAACAAGCTTTAATAATGAGCTCAAATAGGTTATCATATCACAAACCGATCGAAAACCATCGATTAACCGATGCTTCTCGATCGGTTAATGCGACATGTGTTTATTCTTTTTTGCATGTGAATCCACCAGGTATTGAACTGAACACTTTTTCAATAAATAATGATAATCCACTTAAAACAACATTTACGCTGTCATATTAAATAGATTTTTGCATCAAATAAAAAGTGGTCTGATCATATTTTTTTAATCAAAACGCTTATATAAAATGCTACTAACATTATGATCACAAATATTCAGAAAGTTTTAGCTTATATAAGCAGATGGCTAGTACATCGAAGGCTTGAATGTAAACGTTTTTCGTAAAAATGGCTCCCAGTGGTCTATTCAATTGCTTCTTAAATGAGCCATACAACTGGTTACAAACATAATTTGCTATTGAGAGCTAGGCAAAATTTTATCCGGTGTATCGAAATTGGATGCCTTGCCATCTTCCATTACTAAGAGGCGATCACTTGTACTTATTGTATTAAGTCGATGAGCGATGGTTAAAACAGTTCGATCTTTAAATTTTTCAGTGATCACTGCTTGAAGTAACCGATCGGTTCGTTCATCGACGTTAGCTGTGGCCTCGTCGATTAATAGAATTTTACTTTGTTTAAGAATGGCTCGAGCAACACAAATTAGTTGGCATTGGCCCACACTTAAATTGTTGCCTGATTCAGCTACTGGTAATAGAAGACCAGCTTGATGCATACGTGCCATCTCCTTCAATTGCACCGCTTCTAATGCTTCCCAGCATTGTTCATCGGAATATTGATTGAATGGGTCTAGATTATATCGTAGAGTACCAACGAATAAAATAGGCTGCTGAGGAATCACACTTAGGCGAGAGCGAAGATGGCTTAGTGGGATCCGACTAATATCGATACCGTCAATAATAATTTCACCTTCGATACATGAACGATCAACTAAACGAAAGAGACCTTGGAACAGTGATGATTTTCCAGCACCTAAATACACATAAAAACGGCACATCATTCAGTATCAAACACAAACCACTTTTCGTAAGACCCTCCTTTCAGTAGAGGAAATGAACAGTTTGATCCTAGACAGGAAAGGCGTTGACACTTGTACCATGAAAATCTAAGTCAATGTTTTTTACATAGTGAAAATAATTATGTCAAAAACATTATGATTGACTTAATCCATTCGATTTCGATTGGTCTGTAGAGCAAAAACTATTTCCAACCGATTGCAAGTAGGAACACATGCATAATGTAGCGACAAATTGTTATTTTTCTCAATTTTAGCTTACAAATGAGGAAGTGTATTCGATTTTGTTTCATAATATCGAGTTTCACTGAAAAACATCTCTTCTAAAATTTAGAAAAATTCCTTTCCATCGGAAAGTGTATGGGAGAAGACATGCACGGAGAAAACATTTCTAGTTAAAATCGAATACAATCTTAAGTGCAGTAGTTAAGAAATTAAAAATTTTGAATTATTGTTCTGCAATCAGATATAAGCAAAACAAATGTATAGCTCCTCTGCAAATAAATTGGAATGTTAACATATCAAAAAGTTTGCTGGTGGAAAATGCATGCAGCTTTGTGTAAAAATTATTAATATGTCTCGCATCATTATTCTAAATGCCCACATTTAAGAGTATGGTATGAGTATAAATGCCTATTCATTCACACTGAACCACAAACAAATCCTTATCATCAAGATAGATAATAAATGTGTGAGATTTTGTGGTAAGATACTTCGAGCTATCCTTCATATTTTAATCATCTTAGGCATGGTTATCAAAACTTATTAAAATGGCGATCCAAATGCATACCTGTCCTGCCTATGATGCCTATCTTCTCTCCAGATGCAATGTGCAAGTTGATGCTTTTGAGTGTTGGTTCCAAATGGGATCGATAACGTAGCGAATAGTTTCGAAATTCAATCGTTCCAGAATTAGGCCAATCCGCTGTCTTCGGAATAAATGTTTTTTGATCGCAATCATCTTCTTCTTGCGGTAGTTGCACATATTCATTGATACGCTTGGCGCTTGTCATCAAATTTTCAGCTTCAAACAATTGCCTTATGCACCAATAAAACCACCCTGTCATAGTTACACTATAAGTCAAGCTAATTGCTACTGTTGATAGATCACTGTCGTTTCGAGATTTTACAGAAACAACGACAATGATAAAGGGGAGTAACACCGCTAAAAGATCAAGATGAAAGCAGAGCCAATAGCTACTACCCAACATAGTCATATACGCACGGCTATTGGTGTCTATCCTACTATTAAATAAATCTATGAAAGTTTCTGTCACTTTGAATGCACGTATCGTAGACAAGCCGTTCAAAGATGATGAGAAAAGTGTATAGATAGGACTGCGTGACAGATTCTCCAGTTTTTTAAATTGACGATTTGATCTTACATATAAACGACATAATAACCAAATTACAAGCAGTGATGGGACAATAAAAGCTAAAAGTAATGGGTTCACAATTCCAATAATGATTAGAGCTCCACATATCATCAATAAAGATTGAATTGCATCGAATAATGTCACAGGCAGCAGTTCATCGACGATTTGCTGATCTCTGCTTGCCCGATTTAGAATTCGTCCACTTGAATTACTCTCAAAAAATCTCATTGATGCGTATAGTACTCCTGTTAACATTCTATCATGCAGTCTGTTCACACCTTTCAATATGAGATAGAAGAAAAATTCAGCTCGAAACAGAGCCACGATCGATGTCGACAATGTTAACGTAATAAAGATATAAGTAAGCATCGGACGATGCTGCTGACTCGCATAGGATTGCTTGGACCAGAGAAAGACCCAGCAATTTGTTCCATCGTAAAGAACTTCGACAAAAAAGAGAAGGAAAATCATGAAAACTAGCCCAAGCCACTTCAATGGCGGCACTGTAAAGAGAGAACACCATAGTGACCAATCGACATCACTGTCCAGTGATGCTTCATCGGCAATAATCGATTGTACATCGACAATTGATTGTCCTATATCAAGCATGCCAGTTGTCATAGGTTTGTCAGTCGTTATGCTGCTATCAGTTGTATTTTTATCCTGACTTTCGATAGGCAATTCATTAAATTTACCTTGAGCTTGAATACAGCCATGTGCAAGAAGTATAGTTTGATGTGATTCGGCGAGAAACCGTGTCTGATGAGTCACTAATAACCTAGTTTTATGGCGCAAGAGTCCGTTGGGACCAACACATTGATCATAAATTTTTTGAGCTACCGTTGGGTCTACAGCAGCGAATGGGTCATCAAGAAGATAAATATCAGCATCGGCATACACTGCGCGGGCAAGTGATATACGTGCCTTTTGTCCTCCACTTAGGTTCATGCCTTTTTCACCGACTGTTATCAAATCACCACTAGGTCCGAACGTAGTTAAATCAAAATCGAGACAGCAAGCTCGTAAGACACTTTCATAATGTTGCTCATCAAAAGAATTTCCAAACAGTACATTTGCTCGAATGGTATCAGCAAGTATCCAAGGTGATTGCGGGGCATAGGAGAATGTATTCTTGTTGATATGGAACTCACCGCTGAGTAAGGTCATCTCACCAAGAATAGCCGCTAGTAGTGATGATTTACCCGAGCCTGTTGGTCCAGTAATTCCCACAAGTGTACCAGATACAATATTAACATTAAACAATGATAAACAACTAACAGAACTATCCCATGAAAATGAGGCATCACACATCACAATTACTTCTTTCTGTTTTTCTTGACCATCTGAAAGCATTACTGATGTTCGTTGATTCACGGTCGCCAGTCGCATACAATCATCGATTCGCTTTGTTGCTATTCGTACTTGGCTTAGTTTCTCAATGGCTTGAGGTACAAATCTGGTGAGAGGAGTTCGTATCTGACCAAAAAGCACAAGTAAAATGCAAACATCAACTAGTCTCAATGGATAACCCATGAGCCAGGCACTACCAAATGTGGCAAGTACAATCAGCGGAATAGATACAAAAAATAAGCACATATTTATTGCACGCAGATGCGATGCACGCTTAATACTAGCAAATTCTTCTTGACGCATATGACGTACGTATACTTCCATTGATTTCTCCCAATTATACATTTTGATAATCTGAGCTCCATGTATTAACTCGCTGAATGCACGAATACGTTTATCAGCACACATGGCTGTTGTGCTACAGTACTGGGTGAATTTTCTACCGAACAGTATTTGTATAGGAATAAGTAAAACTAATATGGCATACCCGATCAATATGGGTAATGGTCCGATAATCCAACAGAGAAGAGCAAACACCAAAGCAGCTTCCAAGGGTGCCTGCCATAAGTAATGAATAAAAACGGCTAAATCATCAAATTTCGTTGCATCATAAGCGATAAAATTGACCATTTGTGCTACCGTTGTTTGGTGTAGTGATGCCGTATTGACTGACAATAGATGGGAGTAAATAACCGATGTGAGCGCATTACGAATTTTTAGACCAATGCGAGTAGAACGATATAAAAACTGGTGATGAAATAAAGTCTCCATAAATATACAAAATAGTAACGCTAGAGCATAAATATACCCTACAGTGCCAGACGATAATGTTTTGGAAGAATGTATTTGAGCACTACTGATAAATAGGATGATTTCACGAAGAATCATAGCTTTTCCTATTCTAAATACCATTCTAGGTAATAGAAGAAGTCCGGTAACTAGCAAACTTTTCCAGAATGTTCGAGTAATAATATGCTGTGTTGTTGTTGTTTTCCAGTCGTACGCTTGGAACTGGTTTAATAGAATCGAGCTTTTATCTTGATGAGGTAAATCGTCGAGATCTTCATCATTCAAGGCTCGTTTGTAGCTTAGCCAAAGTATGGGATTCATCCACCACCAGCAAAGAACATACCACCATCGTGTCCACGATGCTTCTGCCCACTCTAGACGGGATGATTGTCGCTGCTGATGTTCAGTGTTATCATATAAACGTTGTTTCCTGCCGATCAATAGCTCGGTCTCATCATTCATAGCTTCAATCTATCTGTTTAGTATGTAGACAGTGTCAAATAGTATTTAAATCATCAAATTACAGAAAAACCTGAATATCGTAATCTAAAATAGAGAATGAATTAGTTTTTGATACAAACTGGTAATGAAAAAGAACTACTTCAACATGAGGAGCAGTAAAATGGGAATTAGATATGTGACGACCAGAGACGTGCACAGGACAAGATTTTTCGTCCTGTCCTTACTTGTCCTGCTGGCTACTTTGGTCCAGACGGGCGTCAGGACAGAACAAAAATCGAAATCTTATCCTGTCCAGGCTTGTCCTGTTGGCTTTTTGTGTCCTGGCGGGCGACAGGACAATACGTTAAAGCCGTATCCCGGTTAGTGTTACTCATTTCTTCGAGTTTTGCTAATGACTAAAGACTAATTATGAGCTCGAATGCTAGCTATTGTTGATCAAAATAAACATTACTATTAATAATTTTAGAAATAATCTATTTGATATCATTTTCAAATTCAGAGACGTGCACAGGACAAGCTTTTTTGTCCTGTCCTTATCTGTTCTGCGGGCTACTTTGGTCCTGGCGGGCGTCAGGGCAGGACAAAAATCGAAACCTCATCCTGTCCTCCAGGACAGGGCAGGATAGGACCGCCCTGTCCTGTGCACGTCTCTGGTGACGACTCGCAGTCAGCTCATATCAATTGAGTTAGAGTAAGGAGTCTGCTTATTTGAGATGAACTTGACCTAATTAATTGGCGATAAAAGGCATTAAAATTGTTGTAAACAACTGAGGAATATACTATCAAGTTTCCAAGTTCTGAATCAGTGAATCAGGCCAACGGAAAGATGTCTTTTAATTAATATCAAGTGACGAAAATCTAACTAAATCATCTAAAATGATTGTCGATAATAATGAGCAAAAAGTCAATGATTCTGTCTACACATTCTGGATGAATATATTCTATGAGTTTTAAGACATGCTGAAAAAATACTAATATCAAATTATTTTGATAAGAAACATTACATAGTATCGATTATCAGTCCCGCAAATGCTACTAGATTTGAACCAGCCCCAGCGCATATCTGAGTGAGTTTTCAACAATTCCCCAGCTCGCAATAAGGAAATTCTTATTTAAGAAACTGCAATCAATTTTGAGCCAGCCTATATGGCCTATTGGGCGGTGAGTTCTCACATACCTGATGTGAATGCGCACAAAAATCAAGTGCGCCAAATTAATATAATATATAGAAAACATACAAGTTACGTGGTCAGTGAATTCAAGTCCTTGAGTGTTGTAACGAACAACTAGATTAGAGTAGCCTGTGTCATTCTCGACAAAGATGTTTATTAGGCTACTTCAAGTATCCAGAGTGTAACGACAAAACTAGAGAGTGTCGCCTATGCCCGTCGGCATGATGGTGTATTGTGTCATCTGACATCTCTAGTCGTCCCCCAACTTCATACGTAACACACGTATATATAGGAGATAGATAGAAGAGAGACAGGGGAGAGAGATATTAGAACAATGGAAAGAGAACAGAAAGAGAATGAAGGAGAATCATCGAAGCGTGCCATCAATATCGGCACAAGTGTGGCATTCATTTGGTAGTGTATTAAATCTTTCAAGTGATTCTGTAAATTCTCATATCGTCACTTTATGCAATGACATTAGCTTGAGATTGTTTGGTGTGACTAGAGCCGAGTGATTCATGAAACAAAGGAATCGAAAAGCAAATTTTCAAGATTCTGTTACTCTGAATGGTTGGAACCGTAATTGTTTTTTCTGATAACTAGAGTCACCAATAGGAAAGAAATTGAAAAAAGACGAAGAAGATGATATTGTTATTTGTAATGGCGATCAGAACGATAAAGGAAACAACGAATTTTAGCATTCATTGATAAATTGATGAATATTTTTATGTAAACATATTATACTATAGTAACTTTTATGTTTGTTTTCTGACTTTATTTTTTAAAAAGTAATTGATTTTTCAAGAAAATAAATTACACTCACACCCTTTTTCATTACAGATTATACGAAAAAATCAAGGCCTATCAATTATAGACACTAGTAACACAGAAGGGAGCTTTCATTACAGACATAGACCAATAGATTATGCCCTAATTACAGATTGTGGAAAGAAAGGTAGATTTCTCACTTCAACTATTTTGTATTAGCGTATTAAATCTAAAAATGAAATGCCAGTTCCACATTTTTATTCCAAAGGGGCTGCGTTGGCAAGCGTTTTTTATTACTTTCGCTTGGATACCAGTCAATATAGTCGTTGTTGAATATAGTTTGACTGATAGTTCAAGTAATTTGGTCTGAATTTTCCATATTACATAAAAGTTAATCTAATTCTCATTTAAATTGTCGTTCTTTTTTGCTCGCCAACTGTTTCCTTCTCCTAAAGTTGTCAGATACATCATGCTGTATAAAACTGATCAAGCTCATCTCAATAGTAAAGCTTCTTTAGTGATAAAATTTCGAATTTGATACTGTAAAGTTTTTGCCTAAATGATGGATGACTCCTGCATAAAATAACAGTTTTACTCAAAATAAGAATGCAGTTGGTAATAAAATTTTTCGTTAAGAAATATTCGGATAGAACTCGTGTTGCAATTAATGTATAAGAACACATTTATAAAATATACGCGTTTTCGAAACACTGCATTTCATATGAAAACTTTTCAATACGTATCTAATAAAGCTATCTACGAACGTAATTAAAAACGTTCTTTCAAGCGTGTAAACAGTAAAACGATGAATATAACTTTTAAACAACTACCTATTTCTCGTTTTTACCGTTAAATATTGTTAAGGTTAATTTGACGTGCCCAGTTTCGTACAATGGAGCTCGTCAATTTTGAAGATTCTCTAGCCGAAAATAGACACCACTAATGAATTTTGTCGTTTCGTCGTAGGAAAGCGTCTTACGCATCTTGGAAATACATTTCATGTATGCTTGAAATAAATTTGACAATGCACACCGTAGATCGCTTCTTCTGTCACTTTAGAAAGCGAAAATTCACATTAATAACTTTTCGGATGAATAAGTTTTTGCGTTGTTTCAATGGTCATAATTATGAAGTAGTCAATCTGTCACTTTTTTTAGCGCACAACATTTAAGGGTGAGAGCACATGTACGTGAAACAGAAATACTTCAAGCGAATCATAGAACGCTTTATTGATTTAGACGAACTGCCAAATAAAAAACGACGGAGAAGCAAAAAAAGATAACGAGGACTGGGCAGAAACATAGTGAAGAACAATAAAATAAAATAAAACACGTATTGAGGGTGTGGGTGTTTTACTTACTGGTACTGATATTAACATTAACACCCCACCCTTAAGAAGAAACTTTAAACCATTGGATAAGTTGACTGAAATATATAGTCACATTTGTCAATGCACGCAGATATAGTTCTAAGAAATACTGAAAAATGTAAGTATATTTATGAAATAATAGTTGACAAAATCTTTGATGTCAAAACAGTAACTTTGTGTTTATTAAGTCAGATTAGAAATGTTTGCTTTTGAATCAATTGCATGAACACTTCTAATAACTTACATAGAATCTTATCACCAATGTCTCAATTTCGATTGTTTAGTAATTACTCTTTATGGTTCCTAGCAGTACATCAAATTGTTGAATCGTTGTTCAAAAGCAAACAAATGGTTTTACGTTTTCGAAAAACTTGGTTATTCGACAACATCGTATAAAAAATGCAAAAACAAAACTACTGTCAATAATAAAATAGAAATCATATAAAAAGATCGAACGAACAAATAAACAAATTTTTTGTCAAGCACGAAGCAATTTCATTGGTTGTATATTTCATTGGTAAAAGATTATCATATTAGCTTTTTTATTTTAATGTACTCCAATGAAAGCAGATTTCATTTTTTATATTTATACAAGAAATGAATGGGTTGAATGAGGATATCAACGGTATACAATTCAGTAATTTAAGTATTTTATTCTATAATAAGAAATCTCGATTGTTGATCAAATCGATATGATTTTTGTAGATTTGTTTAAGATAGAAAAGAAGATTAATAACAATAAAACTTTAGCACATTTAAGGTTCAACATTTATAATTTGTAGTTCGTCAGTTTTAACTTCATTTTCATTAGTAGATTGAATATTCGTATTATCTTTTAATTTATTTTTAATCCAATTTTTCAATAAAACAACTTGAATAGCACCGATTATTAATTGTTCAGCATGATACATAATCAATGGTAGTGAGAGTAAACCAGTAAGAGCTTGATTTGTGTTACCATATAAAGCATTGATGACTGAGATCCCCATAGCTAACGTTTTACTTGCACTACAAAACATAATTGCTATAGAGTCTTTTTCAGAAAATTGCCAATAAGGAATAGGTAATCTGGTTAGAATAAAAATAAATGATGAAAAAAATAAATATATAACAAGATCAATGAGCATTAAAATTATAAGATCTTGTGTGCCTATCGTTTTAAACGATCCCGTAGAAAAACAAGTACAAAATACGGACCATACAAGTGTTAATAAAGCTAAACTACTCAATTCAGAAAAATGAAATTTTTCTCGTATATCCATTATTTTTTTGGCCCATAGTAAATGAATTATTTGTCCAATAAATAGAGGAAGTAAAACAGTTAAAGTTAAATTTTTAATAACATGACCATAATCTAATTTTTGCTTTTCATTATTCGTATTTGATAAGTAATCAAACATTGAATTTTTCATAAAAAATAGTATCATAGCTGGCGAAAGAAAAATACCTAAAATATTGCCCAGTATTGCATTTAATAATGCAGCATATTCATTGCCCAAAGCATTTTTAGTCATAATAACATTGCTAGAAATTGTTGTAGACGTTGACGCCATTATAATCATACCAAACAGCAATGTTTTGTTCATCGACGTATTTGATAAAAATAATGTTAAATAATAAACTAAAACTGGAATCACTATCAGGCTATAGATTTGAATAAGAATATGAAGACGAATATGAAGAATTTCTTTCGCAAGTTGCCTAGTTCGCAGAGATAAACCGCTAAGAAAGAATACTAATATCACGCAGCCATATTTAACAGTCCATTCAGAACGAATATAGCCACCTGTTTTGCCTAGATTTGGAAAAATATATGCCATACAAATTGAAAAAGCCAAGCCAACAAGAAACCAGTATTTTCGAGCAATCGACAATATTTTAGATATACATGATTGATCTGATGTCTTTTTTGTTTCCTCCTGTTGATTCTTCAAATATTTATCAGCAGTTGAAAACATTTCCGATAAAGAGTATAAACACACAAGCTTTTCATTATAAACCGCACAGATCTGGGGTGAATCAACGAAAGATGTACCATCAAATGGAATACTATCCGAGATAATAACAATTATTGAAGAATTTGGTTTATCGATAATATACTCTTTTAATGCATTCAAATTTGTGAATTTATTTATAAACTTCTTCATTCCAAATTGTATCTCACCACATGAATCTCCCAGCCAAACAAGTGTAAATAAATCTTCGTCATTTTTTTCAATTGACATTTTTTTCAGATAAAAATACTAATCTAAAAAATATCCTAAATACATGTTTGCTTTTCTGAAAGGAAAAAAGCAATTTTTGATGTATCAATGAAAAACTATAGTAATACAGAGATTAAAGTGCGTTCGAATACAAGTAGAGTTGTGCTTTTCTCTTCTATCATATCGTGTTCGATACAATTTTTATGTAAAAAAGAAAAATCTTCATTCCTACAAAATCTAGCCTGACCGATCATAGGCTTCTCACAGATCTTATCCGAAGTATCACACACGTTGACGATTTGTTTTTGTGAGCTCATGAGTCATATTCATTTCATTCAGAGTTTCTCGAGGATGTGGGAGGACTCCTTGAGTAACCACACGCATTTACCCACACCCCAAAAGAGAAAAATGTTTACAGTACGGTTTAATGTTTTTGCATCGTATGTTAGTTTGACAAAATATGTTTCCAAAGCGTTAGAATTTCTTTAGTTTCTTGAAAAATGATACAAAAGAAAGCACTTCCAAAAAGTTTCGACGACTTCTGTTACAGAAACACAATTTATTATGAAAAAATGAAATATAACTGCACCATAAATTAAATTTCTAATCAACAATTAAATTCTTACTTATGAAACTTTTCTTAGTCGAAAATCAAACAGAACAAATATGATTCAATTAGTATTGAAAAGTAAAATGGCCAGGAAAAAGTGAAGCAAAATTTAAAAATAAAAATTTATCTTTTTATTTTAATCTTAAAATAATCGAAGAGGATCGATTTTTACAACTAAGGAATGTTAAAGGGAAAATATACATTTCCCAAAAAGAGATCTGATTTACCAGCAATAGTCACAAGAAGATAACAAATACCTCGAGGAGAGAATATAAGATTTATTTATGTTTACTGTTCTTATTAATGGTGGAAAAATAAGACTTCAAGGAATCTAAATAGATTCTTTTCTAGATTGTTTATTCATATTTTATTTAGAACCCAATTAAAAATGATAGAAACAATACAAATATAAAATTTATTTATTTATAATTGATGTAAGTTCTATTGATGATTCAGGAGTTTCCGTTATTGCTTTTGCTTTTTTAACATTTGTTGATTATCCAATTTTTCGTTTGTTTATGCAAATATAAGGATTGTAGTGGTCGAATATAAATCGCTTTTTATTCAAGCAGAAAGAGCATCACGAACTTAGATTAATTATTGAAATAGTCACAAGAAACAGAACCTATAATTGCTAGAAAAGAATTTATTGTTATTAACCTGTCCCAACAAAAGATAAATATGCAATACTTCAACCAGAATGAACTGTAACTATGCTTGAATTAATTTCATTAAACACCTTTTCTTCTCTTTCAATAAAAAATAGGCGAAAGATTCATTTCAAATATGTATTAGACATTTTAAAAACGTGAAGAGTAGGCGACATGACTTGACGAGTTCATGTAGATATCTACGAATGAATAATAGTAAAATTCCTAAAATACTAAAAGAAAAGAACATTTTATTAAATCACATAGAGTTTTCCTCATTAAATTTGATATAGTCTAATATCAAGTTCAACTAAAATATTATAATTTTCACAAGTAAATGTTGAGTTAGTTGAACTTTTCATTGAGATTATTTTTTCCAAAGACAAACTAAAAGATACGTCCAAAGAAACTCTAGAAATAATTTATTACCGATCATAATGATTAAAAACATTCGCAGATCTTCTCCTTCTCTGATATTACATATATCATTGATATACAATTAAAGACCACATCTCATTATAGTAAAACGATCGATAGCAATTGAATTTATAATTTTTTTAATAACTATCAAAATGATATTTCATAAATAAGAGTCCATCTGTCGTTGTTTTCTGAAAATATCTATTCGTGCGATTTAACGGGTGTTTTTATTAATGGAATGTTCACTTGACAAAAATACGTATTAAAATAGAGACAAATCTTATTTAAGACATGAATAGTGTTGGGCGAACGTCTCAATTTTTTGACTAAAACCACTGTTTAGAAAAATTCTACTTCAAAAGATGTTACTGAATTTTTTTGACTGCTGTAGAAACGTCAACTTGTCGATTTTGATTTAATTCAAGTAAATCGTGTAACTCGTTCACACTAAACAGTTGAATCACCAATGAAAGTTTAGAATACACCTCTATCGTGTACGCAAAATGCATACAATAGAAAATTATAGTGCATTATAAGATGTCGTTCTAGTGTGTGTACACAGTTTTTAATAAGATGTCATTGAAATCCATTGAAGGAACTCCTATAAGAAGTAAACAGTTTCTAAATATCAATCATAATAGCATCACCTATGTTGAAAATATTTGAAACCAAAAGGAAACGAACGATTAAAAATAACGATATATTTCACCCTTAATTTATTTTAAAGGAGCAGAACAAGAGAATCCATAACAATTTGTATAACAAGAGAAATTGATAATCTTGAGAGTTATGTGCATCTCTTATATTTGTGTTTATACTCCGATATCTTCTTCTGTGCTTGTATGTACCTTACAATTGTCCAAGTTAAATCCAAAATGAGATGTATCATTTTGTTCTAAACTAATAAGATCGCCAGCTAGATAAAATGGCACGAAACTAATCGTTTTATTGTATTAAAAAAGTATTGTGGGCGGAATAATCAATGATATAAAACAGTAGGGGCCGCAAAAACTGCAATAAAACTGAGGCGTAGTATTTCATGAAATGTGAGTATAAAATAATTTTCGAGTTGTAGGCAGTATTTTTTATCAAGGAAAATGTTTAAGTTCATTGTCATATCAGTGAAGCCCTTGTGTATTTTTTGTAGAAAAGAGGTCGTCACGAAAACGTGTGCACTCAAAAATACAGTTGTACAATATTGAAACTGGATTACAAAGTGACTGATAAATTAATTAATAGATGAAAGGCTTGAGACTGAACAATTGTCTGAATAGTGAACATCTGCCGGGAGCATAAATGTACACAAAAAAAGCAGGATTGTAGGAAAGCGTTTGACAACGATACTTCTAAGAGATCTGCTACAAAACTCTGCCCCCTGAGAAAAATCAAAAGAGCTCTCAAATGATTTGTTTGATACCATTTTGTTTTTCAGTGTGGGTGTGTGCATTTGTGGATAAGAAAGTCTCCTGTCATAGTTATAATCAAAATAAACTCCCTCGAGATTACGATTGGAACCGATTTCATGTTCAAAATGAACTTTGGAGAGGTATAGTTTGCGATAGTCCCATTAAAATCAGTTAGCTCGATTTCTGCTGATTGAAGTCTAGAGTGAATTACACAGAGGAAGATTTCTGTTTTTTTTTATGAATATCATATATTAAGTAAAGAAATCGGTAAACTCAAATTTGGTCGACAGCAAAAATGTCAAAGAAATTTATAAAAATAAAAAAAAAGTTCTAAAAGAAGGAGTATTTTGAAAGATACTCGATGAATATGTTATTATTGTAGGATCGATGGCGACTTATGCTCGTTTAGATCTATCATTGGTCTATCAGACATCGGTCACTTAGTAATTACAATGTAATAGAAAAGAACAAGAAAATTATTCTTCAATTATTCATTATTCGAGTGATAAGTATACATATGGAGGCCGCCATGGAATCGACACGCAACGTCAACAGTGATTTAAATTTCATTACTTCGAATCAGCGACAACCTCTTGTAATAATGAATCAATACGTATACAAATGCAACAAAAAAAGGCCCAATAAAAAGGATTGTGGCGTATATGTTCATACTGATATAGATCAGAATTATTTGTCTGGTGGTAAAACTGGCCATGGGCACACAGAAAATCCTGAATCTCTTCAAGTCAAAAAAACTCGTGAACAAATAAAACAACGTATACTAAACGAGTTTGTTTCATGAATCCCTACTCAGTTTTCGACATTTTTACTGTCGATCAAAGTTCAGAGATTCAAGAAATCAGCAGAAATATATCTTGCAAATAATTTTGCAAGTGAATTTTAGAATTATAATCAATTTTAATTCGATAATGATGCAAAACATAGATTGTAGAGAGAAGAGTTCAGAATCTTGTAGGATAATCAAAAGATTCCTCATTTTCAGGAGGATATTTGTCATTGGCTACCGATAATATTTTGTTAACGGTTGATGACTGCCCCGTGATCTGTTGTTGCATATTGTGACTTGGAGCTTGCAATTGACTGGTAAGCTGTTTTCGTTCAGTTTCACCATGGTTAATGGTAGCTTCGACAATTGCGTGTGGCTGATTTGATTTCTGTGGTTTAGCCGCAGTGTGATGCAATCCAGGTTTATGTTGCTTGAGTTTAGGCTCCTTTGTGTTGAGCTCGGCTTTGCTGTGTTTTGAAATCTCATTTGTAAGATTTTGAAGCTGGAATTCTATCTGTTTTTGAGTTTGTTCGATGCGATTTACGTTTTGGGTTTCTAATTGCTTTTGAACTTGTTCCATGTACTGTTTGTTCTCGGATTGTAAATGCTTTTGGATTTCTTTGATATAATGCTTATTCTTGGATTCCAACTGTTTTTGAAGTTCTAGCATTTGTTCAGTCTGTTTTCTCAATCCATCATCAAATCGTTGCTTGTTTTCTTTTATCAATGCGGTGAGTGCCCGATCAGACTCAAGTTTAACGAAATCATGAGCAGCCTCCATTGATGTTTGATATCGCATATCATTTTCTTGAAGACTATTCTGAAGATTTTCGATTCTACACTCAATGTTAATTCCAGATTTCTTAATTTCTTTGTGAACATAACTGGAATCAGCAAAAGACTTTTGCTCTCGAAGTACTTTGGCTACTTCAAAAGCTGTGTCTGACATAACAGCCGGCCGAATACCACTGTTTTCCCCTTTTATTCCCATCGACATACGTTCGATTTCCGCGATTTTTGTTCTAGTATCGGCACTGACACTACGCTGCGCAGAAATTAGATGTCTTTCTTTAATAATGGACCTGCATATTTCTCTATCTGTTGTAAACGGCTCTAAGTAAACATAACCAAATATTGTCAAATCTGGATAGTTGTCTTTTTGAAAATCCTGCGGTGATACTGGATATTGATAAATAAGTCCATCTTTAGATACTACTGAGGGATACCCAATCAAATGCTGTAACTTAACTTGATACTTCCTCCCGTTAGGATCTTTTTTTTGTAGCGGTATGAGTTGTCGACCATCTGAATATCCAGCAATGTCAGTTAGATATTCTATTGTCTTGGTCACAAAAGGATCATTTTTGGCGACGTAATACCATAGCTGTTCTGATAATGGGATATTTGAGACAATTTCGCGACCCTTCGCTGTTTTAAGTGTTTCAATGAGCCAATTTATCACATAGAGAGCTACTATTATCACAGCTTTTTCGTCCTTCTTTTCTGGATGGAAATCCAGAAAATTTTCTTTGAGTGCATGAACTTTCTGGGTTAGAAAGTTGCTGCTTTTTATTTTTGTTAATGCATCAATAGATTCGATTTGTTGCTTGTAATAGAGTGTGAGAAGGGCGGCCGTATCTGATGCAACACGTTGAAGCTCTTCAATATTACCCAAAGTTGAAATATTGTAAAATTCCCTTTTCTGTTCCCTTTCATTAAGCTTCCCCACGAAAAAATTAGTAAACGTTTTGATCGGTTTCAATATGCTGCCGAAGGGTACTAGATAACAAAAATATATGCTAAATATTAGAGTGAGCTAAGAGAAAAATAAACGCATGCTACGCAAAATATAAAATGCGCAGTGCGTAATAGATTTAATTTTGCTGTAGAGTAGCTAAGAATCATATATTTTAGAGAAAGCCTCGATTCGAGATGGAATATAACGTATTTGTCGGGTTTCTAGCATTCGAGAATGTTTGTAACCGATGCAGATTAGTTTCTGATTATGTATGTTGGAATTTAAAAATTGCGAATTTTTCCTCAGAAATCTATGATGCTCGGTATCCTCTTACAACTGATGAGCAAACTATCTATTCCTCTTTGCTGCTGCTACTTTGAGATCATGATTCATGAATAGTAAACCTTCGATGATTGATTTAACTTCCCAATCGCTTTAAAAAAATGATTTTTTAGTTATCATCGATGTTTATATAAGTTATTCGTATTCTTCACGAAATCGCAGTGACAGTGGCGAGCTGAAAATGATCTAAAAAGCACTTAGTACACTTTCTACTATATCATAATGAAAAGACTATTGATTATTGTGCTGCTCGAGACTTAACACTGGCCGCAAGGGCCATTAGGACATTCAAAAGCTTCATGAGCTCTTATTAGCTGTTTGTCACGATGTTAGATAAGATGATGTTCCTTTGAAAATCCTATGGTGACTACAATTAAAAGGTGATTCGGTCTTTCTGATTATATGTATAGTGATGGGCTCGATATTTTTAATTCATTAAGAATTAGACTGAGAATCGTTTGGCATTATTCAAAGAAGATTATAATTGTTCTTTTCACATCTGAATTACATCTCAACTGATATAATATTTGCTAATTTTTCGATAATAAATTACTTACACGTCAACAATGCGTCAGTGAAGAGATTTGCGAATTTCCATGCGCCCGATAGTAAATCAGGTGCTGCCGCTCCTATTGCGAATTTCATATCCTTGCTAGCTTGCAGTTGCAGGTAACCACCTTGAGCTGCTAGAACACTGTGAAACAATGCATTTAAACGGATCTCAATCGTTCGATAGAATAAGTATAAAAAAGATTTGTCCTTGATGAACTCCATGGTCTTGCGCCTGTTTAGCAGGCCTTCTCGTTCTCGAAGAAACAGCAACATGGAAGACTCATAAACAGCTAATTGTTTTTTGTGTAACTCCAGTTCGTCAAAAATGTATTTTTTTTTACCCGCAGTTAAGCCTGTTACGCTGCTTAAACGTTTATCGGTTTTTTGAATACTTTTCTTGAGCATTGTATTGTATTCCTCGACTTGATTCAATCGTTTATCTATTGCCTCTAATTTTTCTTCCGTACCAGACATATCTTTTCGAATCAGTTTGCGGATATTTTTTTTTGTGTCAGCATTCTCAAGTTCCTGTGCATTTTGTTGTAAATTTGTTACCAACTTCGAGAATAAATTGATAAATGTGCCTGGGTCAGCAGGATCAAGATCGGCAGAGATTCCAGTAATGGTGTTGTGTAGGCCTTCCAAAACTCCATTTAATATGTTCTTATACTTGGCGTCTAATGTTACTATTTTTTCCAATTCTATATCTGAAGGAATATCCATTTTTAACTGTCGATCGTAATGCAACTGAAGAATGTCTGCTATTTCTTCTTGGTGGTAGCTTTTAGCTATGCCAATAAGTTTACAACACAGACTTTTTTTTTCATCTCTAGAGTCGTAACGTTCTTGACAAAATTCTTTGATAATTTTTGCTTGGCCATTTCGACACGCAGTTTCAAGCACCTGATAGCTGTGCTTGGATGTGGCAGATATTTTTTCATCTGTAATCAAGAAATCGTGCGAAGTGTCACCAAATTCTAGTATTTGGGCAATACGTTTGAATCCTTCTTTTTGTGCTATCTGAAGAGCGGTTAAACCAGTTCTATTTTTTTGCTTTTTTGTTACTGGATATTTTGTTGCAAACAGTTCCACTACGGCAAAATCACCTATAAACATGAAACTGTTGCTATAATATCCATTTAAAGATTGATTGGCACTGAAAGTGTATTATACGTTCTCTCGAGAATTTGAAATATTCTCATCGATCGAATTTCCAAAGCGGTTCATTCTTAGGAAAGTCAACTTTTTTTTATGTAGAAGCGCGATGGAGAAAAAAAGAAGCGTAATTCAACCGTTGAATTGTTATCAAGTAGATAAATCATAGAGCAGAAACACTGAACCAACTACTTTCATCAAATGAAAGCATTTTATATACCTTATGAAATTTCAATCACCGTGTTTATACTGTGTAATCCTGGCACACATGTTAATCTACAATCATTGGTTATGACACAAATAGTGATGCATAAGCTAGCTCAATCAAACCACAAATGACTCACATAGTATAGCGACTAGACCGAAGTTATTCAATTTTGCTAAAGGTCACTATAAATTTCAGTGTTATTTTTGACAACAGAATAATCCTCTCTATATTATGACTTATGCAGAATCAAATTCTCTTTTTTACTGTGTTAATGTTCGTAGATGGCGCAATTTAAAGATTTTAACAGCCCACAACATAATTAGTTTATAAATACAACATCAAAAATAGAAGAATTTATCTTCTACAAGCCAACATAGATCTCATTCTGTAGTCAATTCCTATAGTAGCGTTTAACACGAGTCTGGTATGGCAGGCGCACATGTTTCAAAGATAAAGACCTATGTTAATGTTGTTGACGTCAAATTCGTATTCAATATCAAGAAAGCTCGATATAGTGAACATGAACACATTATAATTATATCCATTCTCTTAATTTCACAACTTCTTTTTCCTTGATGATGTGCAGCAATCATTGTCAGTATATTATCTGGTAAATGCTGATATGAAAGTCATAGATTGACTTCGATATGTAATGAAAAGTAATAAAAGGCATTCATACATTCTGTTGTTGTGATAATTACGCATGGTCGACGAATATAAGCTGAACGTAAAAGAGTCATGGAGCACACCTCTATATCCATCTGAGTAATAATATTAAAAATACAGTTAATAAAATGAATTCTTCAAGAACAGACGAATGATGATCAAGGCATGTATATAGGCTTGCCATGTAGAATTCAGAGAAATGGTTTGTAAAAATATTGATGCGTTATCGGGATATTTAAGATCTACTTATGCCAATATGAGAGAGGAAACAAATACTTAACGATTTTTTGTGCAGCTCTTACAAGGGTAAAAAATGAGAAGCTAACGATACTTATTCAGCTTGGATACAATTTTCCACAAATTGTGATTTCGTAAATCACTCTCTAAATCGAATCCACACTTGTGAATAATGAGATTATATTGTTTTTCTGGTCACCAAATAGGGATTTTCCTTTAGGGATCTTTGAATTTGGGTATAATTTAAAACAAATGAAGTTTGAAAACTTACTTATCACGATTGTCGCATTCCTACTGTACTATATGAATACATCAGAAATTGTCATGCTAAACATATGCCATCGCTATTCCCTAAAGGTAATAATACACTCCCATATGAAAAATTAAACTGCAAACGCGAATCAAAATTGAGTAACTGGCACTAACTGATTACCAATCCTCATTCTCTGCAGTCCTATATTTAAGAGGAGAATATTCATTATTCCGAGATCAATAGTTTGAATCCTATGGAGGAATTACCAATAAAATCTGATGGCCAGAATGAGTACTCCACATTTAAGAAAAAAATCATACATCTTTTAATCTCATTTTACTCCTGAGGTTTTTGCATGCCACCACCCCCTCAACAACAGGCTAAGAAAAGAAAGGAATGAAAGGAATACAGTTTCATTTGAAATGTTTTGGATAAACAATATCATAGATTTCCAGACATTTGAAAGCATATTTACAGGCATTTCTTGTATATCAATATCCACATCAACACCGACACACACCGCTATAAGTTCATGTATGGTCTAGCTTACAGTTACTTTTTGGTTTGGCCGCTGAAACTTATTATCCGTGCTAATTTCATTGATAGAAGAAAAAATTGAAGTGAGATAGTTTGTTGAGAAAAATGCAAATGTACCGAAGCTATTTACACGAAACGGGAGATCTTACCTTTTTCTGCCGCCAGAGTTATCGGATAGTCACCATTATCATCAACTGAAGTTGGATTACTTCCACGTTCACAAAGCCATGAGACAAGATCTATGCCATGGTACTGTATTGCATAATACAATGGTGCGTGCTTTTGCTCATCTTTATAGTTGAAATCAGCACCGAATGCTGCGAAAGCTGTTGCATTGTGCCTATCGTCGTCGAGTATAGCTGCAGCAAATTGTACGTTAAGTTGTTCTTTTAGATATTTTTCTATGACCCTGAAGTTTTTCTTGTTACAGAGTTCTATAAGTGACATCGATTGGTTTTCATTAGAGTGAAGCATAGTTGCGCCACGCGATACGAGTGAATGAACAATGCGAAAATAATTCCCATTTTGAACTGCGCATAAGAGCGCCGTTGATCCATCACAAGTTTTCGAATCGATATCAGCACCGAGTCGTTGACATTTGATGAGTAAATGAAAATCTCCAGTTGCGGCAGCAAGGCGAAGTCTGCGATTAATCAAATTACGGTTGATAGTAAATGCTATATCGGAACCTATATGTTTTTCTATAGCTGGTGAAAGCACGATGCTATCCAACTGAAGCCATTCAAATGGTAATTTGACGCCATTTTCACAAATAACTTGGATGAGTGTGTCATTTCGGTGACGTAGCGCTTCACCTATATTATTTGTGTTGGTTAAATCGACACTTGAACCGGCACGAATAAGCTGTTTAACAAGTTCTACGTCATTTTTCTTGATAGCTTCTGTACAATCGATTGTTAGGTGATATTTAATATAAGTAGCGACTTTGTTGAATTTTTTCTTTTTTGCAAGATGATATGGCGAATCTAATGTGGTATAGTTATACATGGCTTCATAGATAGTGCGATCTTTTTTAACAAGATAGTCAACAATTTCAACATTATCTGATGATGTACAAGCTAGATAGAGCAAATCAGGTGTTATTGGTATCCCAGCTTCGCAGTATGTCACAAAAAGAGCAAAATTCGATTGTTTAATCGATTCGTCAAGTTGTGTTTGTGCATGCTGAAGAATATCATCACTAATCTGTTGACAGCCTAATGCCATGGCACAAAGCTTCCGCCGATCGTTGTTATTTGTTGAATTCAACTGTGCTTTGCACGCATACACTGCGGCTGCATCCTGTGCCACTTCATAAGGGCTCCTTTGCTTGTGACGATAACAAATATCAGCACCATCTTTCATCGCTTCTCTAGCCATCGAAACGTTCCCATTTTTAGCAGCGACATGAAGCTTCCTGTTCGATCCCAGATTAAGAATTTTGAGTACTTTTTTGCTACTTTTTGCCTGGTCATCACGAGCATGTGGCTGTATTTCATGTACATCGCTATGTGATAATAATTCACACGTGTCTAGGTCTATTGTTAATTTAGTCGGCTGTATGACTTCGTCTCGTGTATTATGATCTTTGGAAAACGCTAGGCTACGAAGAAAGTTAACAATTTTGTCTTTCTCAATTTTGTCTTGTTCAGTATTGGTCTCACTCATTTGCGCTGAAACAAGTGGAGTTTCCTTTGATGAATTTCGAGCCTCTTCGTCAGCACCCCATAGGATCAGATATCGAACGATACGATAATGGTGATTTTTTGCTGCCAAATGTAACGGAGTATCACGTTTCTTATTGACCACATTTATTTGTACACCTCGACATTCTCTCAAAAATTGAACAATTTCAAGCTGACCATATTCAGCTGCAATAGATATTGGATGATCCTTATCTGAATTCGACAATGTGCAATCCGCCTTCAGATCACGGACAAGATATTCGACGAATGATTTCGTCGTAGTTTTACAAGCTACGTGGAAAGCGGACCATTTCTTGTATTCTCCATCGATATCGTGTCGATCATTGATTTGAGCTCCATAGTTGATGAGCTTTTTTGCTTCGGACAGGACACTCTGATTTCGCTTATCATCAGTATTAGCACTTGTAACACAAGCCCATAAGCGTGCATTCAATTCTGCCTTGATTGTATCAGCGCTATCTTTCAAACCTTGCTCGATGGCATATTGATAGATGCTCTTTTGCGAAACATTATTGAAAAATGCATCTGTACTCACTCTAGGTAGTTTAAGAAAGGTGCCGAGAACGTTATGCGGGTTCTTATCATGCAAAATACATAGCTCAATAGGTCGGAGTCCTGCATTGTTCGTTGCTAGTATGTCTGCATTGAATTCATTAACAAAAGCTGCTATCATCTCTTGTGTGCCGCCATGAGTAATTAAATAATGAAGAAACGAGTCATTATTGTCAAAGCGTCCATTTATGTTGGCTCCTTCTTCCAAACACTGAAGAACTTCTTCCTTTTTTAAACTGGATTTTTTCGCGGCAATCAACTGTTTCAATTTATTATTAATAACTTGTTCGGATAGAATTGCTAACAATTGAGCATTTCTCAGTGGTTCGTTTTTAGCAATGTCAATCGAAGTTTTATCGTCTTTATTTTTATGCATCGCATTGCACCCATTTGCTATAAGAACTCGAACCAGATCAACGTTATTAGCACGGACAGCATTCAAAAGAACAGTATTTTGATCTTCATCTATGGTTTTTGGGTCAGCACCTCGGCAAATCCATTGGGATAACTCGTTCACATCCATTTCAGAATGAGTGCTTGCGATTTTGTTAAATAATAAATTAAGCTGTTCTTGTATATAATTAGTAACCTGTGCAGACGATTTCGGATTATTCAGCGATAGAGACAAGCATGTCTGATGTAGATCATCTTCTTTCGTTAGAGCGAACTTAGCTTCTTCATCGGTTTCGACAAGAAATCGAACAACATCGAGTCGAACATGATTTTCGCTCTGATTCAGCAGCTTTCCTAACAAGCCCAAAGGCCCATATACCTGTTGCTGATAACAGCTTGCTTTTAATTTGACCAAAAACCTCATCTCGTCAAGTTTACCATTGTTTGATAGTACCAACTCAGAAAGTAATTCAGAAGCACGATTTTTCAATAATTTAATGATGCGCCGACAATTCTCAGCTTTAAAAGGAGTTGTTTGACGAAGTCGAGCTTCTTCTTCAGTAACATATTGAATCATCGAGTAGTCATTGCTGAAAGGTGTCCTCACATCAGCACCTTGTGCGATAAGTTTCTGTGCCTCGAAGTAAGACTTTTCTTCACTCGCATGTTTTTTAATTATTTTTATTAGTCTTGTAGTTGTCTTTGACATTAATTCAGGACAGATGTGGTCGATAATGATTTCAAGCCTACTAATGTAGAACGTACACTTTGTTCACAAGTATAAACATTATATAGCTACACTCTGAAAACATCACCAAACGACAAGGAAATGGCTAGCAGCGGCAGGTTCATTTTTTTATTCCCGATAATTTCCCAATGAAAACTACCGAAACATGTCAAATTGAATACGGAGAACATAAATTGCGACTCAATTTTTTAGCATTCATCTGACTGACCTCTCCCCTTCCAGGAGAGGTCAAATATGTTCTACGTGGGGTGTGAGTCTTTCTTTCTTCCAAGAATCTCGTAAAAGTATCCGAGATCAGTCCGAAAACGTAAACAAGTATTCAGAATCAGTTTTGAAATGTATTTTTTGTGTACCCGATACAACAATTTTATTTAGAGCGCATATTCATTTGTAGGATGCACGAAATCATTTTTAATTTTCACATCTTCAATTTTGTTTCTATCAGCGTACGCCCTGTTTTTTAAGTAAAAATATTACAATGAACAAACAAACTAATTTACCTCACTCTGCAATATCCTGCTTTTAGTACATGAAACGTGTAGTAAATGATTTCGAAAATACGCCTGATGATGTCTGTGAAATCTACAGTTGCAATGCTTCACACGGATCGCTTGAAATCAATCAAACTTAAACACAGTCTCACACCAATATCCATGTCCTCTCAAGATAGTCTACGCTGTCGTCGCCCGTTACCTTACAAATGAGGCGCTATCTTCTGTGTAGTCAATATCAGTTAATGTAGAGAAGCAGTCTTTTATTTAAGTATGATAACTTTTCTTTGTTGTATAGATAAAGTTGAAACACTCGCTCGGATATCTGAGTCTTGATGAAACGGTAGCATAGAATGACTATGCAAACAGTTGCAGTCCCTGTCAACTTTTTATCTTTACTATTTGGTATCAGTTTGTTTTACTGATAAAGCACACAAACGTAGCAGACAGACAACTAAGCGTCGAATAGTGCTTTGACGAATTCCGAGCACTTTATATTTGGAAAGTATCAACTAGAGCTACCTCAGTTTAGCAATAAAATAAGAATTTCAATCATAGGTGACGATCGTGGTATGTCTTCACTCGATATCGAGAAATCAACAATCGATCTTCGACAATTAAATGCCGAGCTTAGTGCTGGCACCTCAATTCCGATCGGTTCCAATGCTTGTTACCGAAATAACTATACAACTGAATATAATTTTTCTGTGACAAACTGGAATACATTAGAAGGCAGCGCTGAAAAGAAGCCAATGCACAGCGGTTACTTACTTCTCGATCGCATCTTCATATTTAGTTATCTAGTAATAGCGGCATGCTCTATAATACCGCTAGTTTTAATTGCCCAATATAGAGGATTCATCGCTGTGCCTGTTATCGTCACTATTGTCTATACGGCTCTTTTCATTTATAATACTTTAGTTTTCTACCGAAATGGTAGACTCATTCATTCAAAGATGATATCTGTCAAAGAACAATATCTCAAGGGACTCTCCAACGAATTTTTCATCATTCCAGAAAAGGATCCTATCAAAGAAACCCGTCAAAATAGATGTCATCATCATTCTAGTCTTTTTACATCCAATCTTATGTAAACCTTATGCAGATTCTGTATTTAAATTTTATTAAAAAGACAGGAGAAATATGATTATATGCTTCTCTTTCGCTAATGACGCCCTTTCTGTATATCGTCAAAGATCGGCGACTGCTTGAAATACTCGGTAATGATTCAACAGCGAAGATTGATCGTATACGACAAGACAATCGAAAAGAGGATCCGCTGAATATCATGGTCCATAATAAAATTTACTCGCGTTACCAACGTTTCCCTCTCGAGGCCATCCTACAGATGATTGCCATGTGGTCTTTTACTATCATTGTGATTATACTTGGCGCCACTGCAGGTAGTATTCCTTAAACAGTGTATTCAGGGCTGGCCCGAGTGAGAGGTTGTTGGGGTTGAGATCTCAACATAAATATCATGTGTCCCTTTTCTTCTTTGGTTTTAAGATTGCATACTTTATAATTGGAATTTAGCTGTAATTAAGAAAGAAACAGATGGATTTTGAGATACATATCATTTTAAATCTTTAACACGTCAAATGCAACTGTTTCCTTCTTGATTTATATACCACAGAGTGTAAAATTATTTGTGAATTGTAATGATTTAAAAAACCAATAAATCGATTGTAAAAGGTTAGGTAAAAATTAGAACACTCGAAAAATAAGTTGCTTCCACTAATCTGAACTCAAACTTTCGATATACTTTACATAATGCAAACGGTTCCCTGCTAACGGTGAGCATTTATCAGCAGTTCAACTCTATCGACTTTCAAATGAGTGAGCTATCAAATTACTCAAAACAATATCACTACTTATTTCAAAAAAATGTTCGTTAAACGACGGACTAGCAATTGCTAACGGTTTACAATACATTTAACGAATAATCCTTTTTTCACAGGGGGGTCAATTGAAGAATGAGAGTTTTGTCATACATAATGATTCACTCAAAATATCAAAGACCGGAGTTATAGTCTTGCTTCAAAGATTTAAGATTAATTTGTTTAACTCTTTTCTTTTACTCGAAAGCTTCTTGGCTTAACAAGACTGCCATCTAAAGGCGTTTCGTTTGGAGTGTTAAGCTCAAGATAATCATTTTCAAAAGGTTTAAAAAAACTGACCAGCAATGTCGAAATATCTTTTATATTTAGTTGCACGCTGTCGAGAGAAAATATCTTTCTTGTTTTAGCAACACCAACAACTGCAACTACGAGTTGGCCCACAACAGGTAGATACCATTAAAACCTAACATACTCTTAAATAGATCAGGTTTCTTCTTGTTTTTCGCAAGAAAGTGTGACTATTACAACGGGAGTTTTCTCGTCGTTGTAAGTGCTTGATGAGAAGACAGATCTTAGCGAGTATTTAGACGCAGAAGAATCACGCTATTTCTTCTGCTAAATTGTTGTATTTATTCAACAACGACAAGAATCTCCTCAGTTTTTTCTGTTACTTCTCTTCACATGAATGCTTTCTATTCTTTCAGAATCTACAACGCCATTTGAGTCACCGTTGTATACGGACGCATTAACATCCAATAGCTTATTCTATTCTCTACCTGGAGCTGTCAACGAACGTCGGTTCTACTTTCAGGCTATTGAAGTCACCGTATCCATACCTGGTATTTACACTTTCCAGAGCAACAGTACAATTGACACTATGTGCTATTTTTACAATTCTTCTTTTGATCCATACAATTTGACAAAGAACTTGATTGCGAAGGATGATGAAAGTGGAGGTCAGTTGCAATTTCGAATCGACGTTCCGCTGGAATCGGAACTGACGTATATTCTTGTGGTCACGACGCATTTTGAATCCATTACTGGAACTTATTCGATCTCAGCCGTTGGTCCAGCCATTGTAAGTCTCACTTCGATCACACAATCAACGACTTCGTCCACACCAAGTAAGCTCATCGCTCATACTCTTCCTAGAAAGGAAAATATATGCTGCAGTTAACATTTTGGTAGCTCACAAGTTGGCATTTTTGTTTAAGCTCATTTTTTGTAGCATCTACTGTTCGCTCCATATTATCGATTACGAAGTGTCTTTATCTCTCATGAGCCATAATTTGAGCCTTGTGGCTCTCAGTAGTACAAAGATATAAATATCTTAATATTTGTTGGAAAATTTCGTATTATTATCGAAAACTTTGTGAACGAGTTCATAGCGAATCAAATGTTAAAATTTTCCAACAGGAAATGAGTGAACACTGTATGCTATGTTATATGGAATTCTTGTTCATCTTGTTCTATCCCTTACTGCAAATTTTCGCTTCTTTTTCCATGATTTATTGTTATTTTCTTGCAGTCTTCTCATGTAATACTTGTGTATCTGGCTCTGAGATAACAAAAATGCTGCGAAAGTAGCAAACAGTTGCAGCAAGAGCTAGATCAAGAAGAACAAAGATTGCAAGAATCATAACAGAAACGTTTTGCGTATTTCTTGTTTTAAAAATTCAATTGCTGATGTTTTCCCTACGCTGTAAGACTAGGGTCTGAAATCGTGATTTAAAACCTTAGATGTTTGCCTGAAACACGTTTTAAAAACCACTTTGTGCGAAATGTTATCGGTGTATTCTTGTGAAAGCCACTGCTAGTGGAAGGTATGACGAAAAGCTTTGTTAAAGTGCCACAGATTGTAACAGTTGTGTTGGCTATTGGCTTTTGGATATGACCAGATTTTATTCTTGGAGCAAATCAGTGCTGAATCAAAGGTGACTTTTGAGACAAGCAGAAGGTGACTTTGTAACTAGATCACTAGTAGTTTTCGGTGTTTTTTTAGAGCAGATCGTAGACGCTGGTCCAACACGTATAGCCAATCACATTTCATTCAATCGTCTTTCAATATAGGGACGAGTGAATCGGCACCTGGTGAATGTTAGCTGCTTTAATTATGTAGGAATGTAAGAGTACGGTAAATGAGATTTGTATTCAATTACTAATAAATGGAGAAATTTTCCAATAAAAATATTTTATTTTAACGTAATATCGGAATTTTCGGTCTTAGAAGATAATTTTCAACTTGATTTCATGACTTTCGAAAACAGATGTTACAGCACAACAAATAATCGCATGAAATTGAATATTCCCATGTTATATTAAAATAAAATATTTTCACTAGAAACTTACTACGTTAACTTATTAACTAGAAAAAGTTCCTTGTTTTGTTTGAAAAGCTCAGTTTTTGATACACTTTGAATTCTTTCCACAGCAACGATCAAATATAAAAGTTCTCCGATGATAATTTCAATTTTCTTATGAAATGTTAAGAGTTGTCAGACTTTTCAGAATTAGTGCATATTTCTAGCATAATTAGCATAACGATAATTATTCTAATTATGCACATATTTAATACTAATGCGCAAACACTAATGGAATTACCCTCGATGAACAAATCAAGATTCTTTTCAGTCGATTCTGATCAATTTAGATGAGCCTGCTTTCATTCTTGTCTAAGCCCGAACACTGAACGCGTGCCGTCTGCGACATCACCCTCTGGAATCGGCAAGCTTGCAATTGATGCATTCCTATAGAGACATGCGACTATTCGAATATATTTTCTTCATCTTTCTCACTGCCTCGCGAGAAGACAGATCTTAGCGAGTGTTTAGATACAGAAGAATCACGCAATTTCTTCTGCTAAATTGTCGTATTGATTCAGTAAGGAAAATAATCTCCTCAGTTTTTTCTGTTCCTTCTCTTCACATGAATGCTCCCTATTCTTTCAGAATCTACAACGCCGTTCGAGTCACCGTTGTATACGAGCGCATTAGCATCCACTAGTCTATTTTATTCTCTATCTGGAGCTGTCAACGAACGTTGGTTCTAGTATCAGCCGATTGGAGTCACTGTGCCCAAAGCTGGTATTTATACTTTCCAAAGCCAAAGTGCAATTGATACTGTGGGCTATTTTTACCATAGCTCTTTCAATCCATACAATTTGACAGTGAATTTGATCGCAAAGGATGATGATGATGGAGGTCTGTTGCAATTTCGAATCGACGTTCCCCTGGAATCGGGACTGGCGTATATTCTTGTGGTCACAACACATTGGGAATCCATTACTGGAACTTATTCGATCTCAGCCGTTGGTCCAGGGATCGCGAGGGACCGTTCAAAAACCACTCTGGAAAGGGTGATGGAAGGGGTATGTAAGTGTGCGTTTACAGTCAGCACACACCAAGAGGGAAGCAGGAGACTCATTGGCTCTACTTGACTCGTCATGACTCCGCGTGATTCCATCTTACTGCAAATAATTTTGAAAATCTGAAAAATATAGCATGCTGAACATTTTCTTCTCCATGTATTACAAGCTGAGTAGTCACTTATATTGTGAGTACTAAATTGATTACACATTAATTAACGTGATTGCTCACCATATACGCTGTAGCTCAGAGCAGTATTAATAAATTTAGCATTAATTAAGATGAGTACTCGTTAATTAGCTGAGTATTAAGTACCGTCCCGCTACATATTACAAAGCGTCCATGTCAAAGAAGTTCGTCAGACAGAATAGAAGGTCGCTTAATAAAATAACTCTATGCTAATTAGGAACTTTAATTATTGTTTTCCTATCAAAGTATGCCCGATAGTCAGTGTTTCGATTTGGAAATATTAATAGAATGTGTTCACAATTCCAATCAGACTTCTAAAAATCTGGAAATCTTGATGGCAATCTTAAAAATTACCTTGGTTTTCTGAAGGTTGTGGGTGGGGGAGGGGAGGAGTAATCAGAGAAATCACTCTATTTATTTTTAGTGGTCACCTAATTAACATTAATTAAGGTACATACTCATATTAGCTTCACTGTGTGCTCAAATAATTAGTAAGCACACAACTTGTAATGGATGAAGAAACACATGTATTATTTTATTTTAGAGGGCTCTATGACTTCAGGGTCGTGAAACTGACCGCATTGGCATTTTGTCGTCCTCCCTTGCTCTAAATCGAGGGTACAATCTAAAAGAAAGGTTCTTCCGGTATGCCCGCAGGAATAACTATTTCAGGCTTCTTACTCTTGGCTGAACCTTTTTTAAGTTTAGTAGGTTACGTTCTTTTTTACAGTGTAATAACTATTTCATATCATAGTACACATGAGAAAAATAATTCGAAGTATAGCAGTATAACATTTCCATATCGGATGCCTGAAGATTGTGCAAAATTTTACGAGAGTTCATGTGCCTCCAAGTGACTCCCCATCACCCCGTTTGGCTGGAGCCTGCTGTTCCCGTTGGCCCACACTCATACCCTCAGGTTCAAACAAAAGGTTAAAAACGCTGAACAAAAATACAGCAGATAGATTCAGCACCCATTTAAGCAAAAAGTCTACTTTATAGCCCTCCCGTTTACAATTAGCATATGATTTGAATCAAAACAAAGTATCGATGCGTATACTACTCGACAAAGACTACAACAGTAGCATACTTAAAACTTACGGGCAGAAAGTCGATGCAAAATAGGGAGACCTGCGTGTACGCATCCATAGCAGATCAATTCAAGGTTAAAATGGTACATCGAGGTAATCCAAATATCTTTTCAAGCTCTGTCTCTGGGTAGTCTCTGTATCTATTTAGGGTCTCCATTAGGGTGATCGTTATATATTTTGCATTCCTAGTTCAAGATGATAGCAATATCTTATTAGTGTCAACCTACAGATAGTTATTATATATTCCCTAGACTTACAGCCCAAACTCTAAAAACCGTACTTCACATGTGTCTGTGACTGTAACTCAAAGAACGACTTTCAGGGCCCAAATTAACATCAGCAGGACCCAAACGACATTTTCGTTACGTAAATGACTATCCGTGGGTTGATGCTAAGAAAATATTGTCATCATTCCAAAGTAGACCTGCACAATATATAGCAATCACCAGGAGGCAGACTTTAAAGAGATATAGGGACTAACCCAAGGTAGAGCTTGAAAAGATGTTTGGATTATCCTGATGTACCATTTTAACTCAGAATTGATCTGTTCTGGGAACTGATCTGTTCAAACATATCAGATCAGATCATGTGAACTGCCTGAAAAGTTCGTCAAATCGGATCCAAAAATGAGCTGTTGCACCCCTAAGAATCATGGCGCTCTCCGTAATACAAGAACGGACAGGCAAAGTAGGTAGTGTTATTGGTGCGATTGAGAGTGAGGGTGCGGTTTAGAATAAACAATTAGCACACACCGCCCATACCCACACTCTCATCAGTACCTGTGCTAACTTAGGATCTGCACAGTATTACCAGTTCTAACCCTGGCTGGGTGGAGACTGAAAGTTTTCCAAGCTGCTCAGCTACCTGAGAAATCAGGAAATCCCCATTTAAATGCATTATTTTCCGTTGACGTACCATTTTGATCATTAAAATGCACTTAACTCAAGCGGATAATAGGAAAATATCCATCCCTAGTCGAATTTTTTTTCTCATGCGCTTGACCTGCACAGACCTCAAGATTTGTCCATAGCGCAGGATTTTCTTGTTCAAGACAAGTGTTTGAGTGTCTGCGTGAATTACAGGTAACTCATGCATTCAACTCAATAAAAGGCAAACATATTTTTGTACTAAGAATCGAGTCATTTTGAACTTAAAACTTGGAAAAAACTAACAACACTTCTTTGATAACGCAAACGCTTGGTTAAAAATTCAAGCGCATGAGCAAGAATGCTAAGCAATAGGATAAGAAAGTCAAGCACTTGAGCTCTTAACAAGACGACAAGTCTGACTCCAAGATTTGCCCATAGCGCAGGACTTTCTTGTTCCAGATCCTCAAGTATCTCATGCGCATCCCAAAAGATGTTCGACTAGGGATCCAAAATGAATATTTACTTATGAATGCATTATTTTGATCATTAAAAACGTATTGATTCTGTTTTTCGGAGCTTAAACGTTTTTTACAAAAATTGTTTCCGGTTGGCTTTATATGTAGAGATTCAAGAAGAAAATATTTCTATCGCTTGCAAGAATAAGATGAGGATATGTAGATTTTGAAACGTGAAACAAAGTAGAATATTTAAGTTAAACCTATGGTTTAAAATATTTCTGTATCCAATAACTAAAATTGAACAATTAGCTTTATTGTTTCTTGAGATTTGAAGTAAAATCTATTATAGGTGATGCTAGCTTCGTGATTGTTTCTAGAATATGTTAGCATTAGGAATCGATTCAATCATAATTAGGTCAGTCTATTTTATTTTCTGTGAAATTTTTATTTAATAATCCACAGTATATCCCAGGTCAATGATTCCGGCGAAGGGATACCGTAGACACCGACTGGAAAGATGCGGAAAACTCACCGTATCAGGCCGGAAAGTCTGGGAAAACGCTGGAAAGTGGAAGCTGCATTCCGGTCGGAAATTGACGAGCTTTTAATCCGGTGTATTCTGGTCATCGTCCAATCGGAAAGCACAGGAAACTGACCGGAATCCATAGGAAAAAATTACGGTAATTTCCGGCCGGAACGCTGCTTCTATTTTCCAGCGATTTCCCGTGCTTTCCGGCTATTTTCCACCGTACCTCTACGACCTGGGGTTTGGCTAACTGAGATACAATAGGATTCCGACAATTGGAATCATGTCGGATGCAGTCATCGGAACTCATCGGATTGAAACGCATCCGATAGAATCAGATTGCTGACTTTTGACCTGGGCTCCTGTCGTACGCTTTCGAGGTTTTACGATGGATTTTGAAAGCTGGAAGGGTGTTTCATTTCTCCTATATTTCTGTTGCAGTATCTTCCTTGAGCAGTTTCGTGAATGGTGACTTTGAAACGGGTAATTGTACGGGCTGGACTATCGGTGGTGGCAGTCGAAATAATGTCATATCATCTCAATTGAAACCCGAAGACTATTTAAGTAATGGCTCGCCTTGTAATTCAAGCATTACCAGTAGCCGTTCACAGATTGTTACTAGTGGTAACGATTCAAACCTTCCTAATGAGATGCTAAACATTGTGCATAGTGGTAACTACGCATGGCGTGTTGAAGATTACACCACAGGAGGATATGTATCAGTTATTAGCCAACAAATGAATAACTATTTCTGTCGGAACATCTCCTTTGCATGGTTAGCGGTATTGGAAAACGGTGATCATACTCCGGACCAATCTGCCGCTGTGATCATCGAACTGAAAGACCTTACCGCTAACGCTACAGCACTGTCTCGCGTCTACAATGCTAACAGAGATGACGGTGGACGCGATGATCGTTTCAATAATAGTGGTAACTACTTCTTCACACCCAGTTGGCAAATCGAGAACTTACTTATCGCTAACAATAGCATCGGACACAACTTCACGTTAACTGTTCTCGCGGCAGATTGCTCACCAACTGGTCATAGGGGTTATGTCTATCTTGACAGTTTTGGTTGTGTTGCGCCTTAGTTCAACATTATGAACTAACATTAACAGTTTGCTTCAACAACTATTATCCCATCATCTGATTCATTTTTATCTTTGATACACATAGACGATGAAAATTTAGCTTATTTGAAAGCAATTATTCATCGAACTTTGCCAGTTTTTAATTATTCTCCTTCAAATTTCGCAATTTATTTTTTCAAGCTCTGAATCTCGTTGTTCAAATTTTAAAGGAGGGGGAATATTTTGTATACAAATGGCCCTAAATGAAAATCAGTTCAAAAATCGTTTTTAGCTAGCGTTTCACATAGTACTGTGAGAATATACGATTTCGAAGTTTTATAGACCGAATTAAAAAGGTTTTACTCTGCGTCTGCAAACACTAGATCTCTACTATAGAGCATACACTGGAAAAAAAAGTTCCATAGGGAACTTAAAAAAGGTTCCGAGATTTGCAACGAAATCTAAACCTTTTTTCGGTTTCGTATAAATATGGTTTCGTATGGAATCGTTCCCAGTTAGTATTCAAAATGGTTTCGTACCTCAAATAACCTCTCCATTCGACTGCAATGCTTCTGCGTTTGCACTAATACTACCATTCACGCTTCCATTACAATTCAGAGAACTATCCCTTTGTTAAAAAGTTCATTCCTTAATTTATATCTTAACTTTTAAATGTATACCCTATGTTAACCTTTTACTCTACATCTAGCCCTTAATCTATATCCTTATTCTACATCTAACCCTTGTTCTATATCCTGATTCTACATCTAACCCTTAACCTAAACCCTTAACTTATATCTAAATGGTTCACCGTTTAGATTTTTGTTTTACAATAATCAAGAGCAGTATGTGAATATGGATCATCGTCAACTGATAAAAAAAGACCGATTCACATCCTAAACAATCAGCAAAGTATTTTCATCTCTTCAAACTCACAATTGTTTTTTTTCTCTGTTCGGATTGACCTA